ACACACACACACACACACACACATACACACACACACACACACACACACACACACACACACACACACACACACACACACACACACACACACACACACACACACACACACACACACACACACACACACACACACACACACACACACACACACACACACACACACACACACACACACACACACACACACACACACACACACACACACACACACACACACACACACACACACACACACACACACACACACACACACACACACACACACACACACACATACATGCACACCCCCGCTCCTTTCCAAGCTGCCGCTCGCTCGCTCGGCAACGCCGCGTTCACGCTCGCGCTCGCGTGCGTGCGCTGGCTGTTGCGTAACGTTGCGGAGTCATGCGATAGGGAGATAGATTCGTCGGATAGACAAGGATGAAGCCGTGCTATGATCGAGCTGGGGGAACGCGAACGAGAGGGGCGATGCTTCAGCCTTGAAACGCTTCGTCATGAGCGTTTAAGTAATATTAAAGTTTATATTAAAAAATCATGTGTGATGTTTTTTGGCATGATTCAAATTAAAATTAGTTAAGCAGATTTTAATTCCTAGTTACACAAACTGATACGAAATTGCGAATGTTTATCCTGCGTTCGTGAAATTTTTCTTTCAAAGTTTAGAAAATATGAAATTGAATTTTTATATGTGTGTTTTGCAGACAAAAATAGATCGTGATTGTTACGTTTCCGACAAAGCAGGGCATTGATTCAGTGTAACTCGAAAATATAGTAAAAGTAGGTTACTAGGCAAGATTCAATTTTTTTCAGTTTGAAATATTTCTAGCTACATTTCACCACGAAGAAAACTTTCCGGTTGAAATATTCGTCAATCTTGCGCATTCTTTGCGATCCCCTTCCACATTCAATTCAGTACAGGTTCTCATTCATTATACTTATCATTATATTTATATGTATAATTTTGTATAACGTATTCCAAATGGTAAAATTTCATGATTAAATATCGTTACAAGTATTGTTGACATAACATTTTGTCTTCTGGTTTGATTTATAATAATTTAGTTATCGAATTATTCTTTAACAAATTGTCTTTTATACATATTACTTGAAAAGATTTCAATATTAATATAAAATACTATTCTTCTATCTAAAATAGTCTCCAGTTTATACGTACACATACATTTCTATATAAAACATCTTATATAAATATAAATAAATAAATATATATATATATAATCAATACGCGATGCAAGACGTTCATCGTGAGTTAAATTCCTGCGACACCAAGAAAGCAGCGGGTAGTTGACAAGCTCCTACCAGGATCAACCCCAAATGGGCAGACTACCAGGAAGCGAAAGGGACTGAGCGAATCGTTAAGAAAGTGGAGCGAAGAAGAGCCGTCCCTATCAGTGGAGAAAAAGATCGAGGTAAGAAAGCGCGAGGAAAGAAAGAAGTCCTACTAACGATAAGAGGGGGTAGCTCGCTTCGACCTCTTGGTAGGCCTCGATCGATGCCGTCGCCATGGCGACCGGGCCGGCACCGCGGTGCTCCACTACTGATTATTTATGTCAAAGATTTTCTCCCCACAACCCTCCTCGAGGCTCGAAACGCAAACGCGAGCAAATTCTCCATTCCGGGGTGGAGGGGCGGCAAAACGCTCAGTCTGGCAGCCTACTAGCCTACCCACGTGACACTGAAGATCAAGGGGGTTAGAGGGATGGATGGATAGGGTGGTGGAATATGAGGATAGAAGTGAAAGGGGGAGCGAATCTCCAGTGGTGTAAGTCGAGGCAAGAAGTCCAAGAGGAAGTGACGAGAGGGAGAAGAATATTCTTCTAGTATAAATATATTTTTGTTTGCGCATTTCATGTGTTATTTATTACACTCGTGTAATTTCAAAGAGCAGAGCGCATTGCGACTTATTCTTATTGCGATTAGTTCGATATATTAGCTTCTGAAAATTCATGTATCCGCCACTGCGAAAAGGAAGAAAGAAAGAGAAGAGGAAGGATAGAAGGAGAAAAGACGCAGAGGGGAAGAAATGAAATACACCCCAGACAGCACAAGGATGTCCTTAGGACGTCCAAAGGGCATCCAGGACATACATGTAGGATATCCTGAGGATATCCTATTTTAATCCTCGGATCTCCTCTGGATGTCCTGAGGAAGAATAAATGATAGCCGTACACTAGCCTCTGGAGAATCCAGGGAGACCCTGTGGAACATCTTAAGGATTTCTATAGGATATGTTAGGGATATTTTTCATACGTTAAAAGAAACAAATTCTAAAATTTAAATATAAATTAAGATTGCGTTCTGTTATTTACTGCCAATACTAAAAATCTAATACTAAAAATAGTTCACGTTCTTTAATATTTGAGGTTTTCGTGCTGTACATGAATATTTTAGGTTTGGCTTCCGGATTTGAGTCGTGTAATATTTTAAAAACAATCCAATATCTGAATTCCCTATGTTGGGATTGCATCAGAAAAATTGAACTGATAAAAAATAATTATATTTTTAATTTCCTGTTAGTTGCTCTTTGCAAGCTTTATATAATTCTCATGACCAAATCTCAAATACGAGTTCGCGCGTCGCATAGCGGTAAACAAACGAACTAGCGGTTGAATACTATTTTTTGTAAAGTTTTTGGAATGTTGCGCATAGTAACATTTCTCATGAAATATTAAATAAATAATAATTTTGAATATATGAAAATGTGCGCATCAAATTCAATTATTAATATTAAACGAAATTAATGTTAACAATTAATTGCACATGTATATGTCCTCTGGAAATCCAAAGGACATTCAATATAATAGACAGGGCAGATATCCTACAGACATCCAGGAGTTATCCAATGGACATTTATAGGACATTAATACTTATTACAATACTTAAAATTTCTAAATTATATTAAATAGCCTACATAACCGAAAGTAATCATGTATGCATATTAAATTTTCATAAAATATATTTATAATAATATCTTAAAACATCCTACAAATATCCTGAACCATCCTGGACATATTCAGGATGATCCTGAGGACATTTTGTGCTGTCTGGGTACGGTTCACAAAAGGAGAAGAAAGTAAATGAGCCGTTGAAATCTACTCGAGATATCTGAAATGAACGAGTCCCTGATATTCGTAAAAACAATCGATTACGATTTATTAATTTAAAAGGGAGAAAATATTCTGCCGAAAGAAGAACGAGAAAGAGAGAAACGGCGATATATTAAATATATTTCACGTAAATAGAACGATATTATTAGGATATTATTAGGAATATATTCTGTTCCAGTTATTTTGTTGTAACAATGGCAAAAATTTAACGGTACAAATTGGCCAGAGAGGATGATGTAAATCGGCGCGCATGGGGAGAGTGGCGGACGGGGATGGAAACAGCAGCTACCCCCTGTGCTTTCGACCCAGTTTCATCCTCGCTAGGTAGTGGCAATCGATACCGCGGGGCCGCATAAAACGCGATCGCAGTGCCGCTATTGTGCTGAAAGCAAGATTTGGGAAGTCCCGCATAGTCGTATTATACGGTGTTTGACCTGGATACGTCCGGTAATTAGTCCCGGGATTTATCGTCGGCATTTAATATGCGCTGATATTTTAAATGTAATTTAACATAATTAACAATTTTTCGCGTGTATATTACACTATGTAAGATAAGTGCAGGCAATATAGCGCTGTCGATTTTAATGCATCGCGAAAATGTGGAACGATTCGTCAAGTCTCGTGTAAACGTCGCGATAAGCAAACGTCGTGAAACCTAAACGTCCGCGTTACAACTGCTTTTATCTGCCGCGTAACCGACGTGTGTAACAAATAGCGGCTATCGGAGGCTCGGAGGTGCGCGCTGATAATTCTGACAGTGGGCGGATATGCTATCGGACGCACGAAGGAATGTGATCCGTGATGGTTAATATAAATGCGTCGTTTGTATGTAATATTGAGGCTATTAGAAAATAGCGTATTCTTCGATCCGACCACTTTTAAATAAAAAAAAAGTAAATGCAAATTAATCTAGGGTAATTATTTACATTAACGGACATACCTTTGATGGCCTTGACCCTGATATGAAAATACTGATTAACATTTGCTCATATCTTAATCGGCTTGTATACTTTTTGAGATATTCATGTAAATATTGAAAATACAATATAATATATGGTCGGAAGAAAGAGTATATTGATTGGAAATTTTTCGCACGAAACAAAATCTATCGCTCGGTGTTTTCAGTGTTGATTAATATCCTTATATGCTGCAATATATATTAAAGTTATAAACATCGAAAATATGTTAATGTAAACAATTACCTAATATATGTATATTAACGGAAATATGTTAATGTAAACAATTACCTAATATATGTATATATAGTTTAAGTTTAATAATTGTTTTATCATATTCGTGAATCGTTCAATTCTAGCAACTATCAGAATATAAAGAAACGAAAAAATTACTTCTAACATTATCGATATCGATAGTATGCTTTTTATTTACGACTCTCATTGATCACTAATCACTAGATAGCAAGTGAAACAATTTCGTAGATTCACCGTCGCAGCACATACAGAATTACGAAGCTTAATAGCTTGGCTTTTTTTTTCCCGCCAATCAACCATAAAGAAATTGTGAAAATCGACCTTTAAAGAATTTGGATTTCTCTTATAACTATGCCATGAAACGGATGAATTAAAATTGCTAAAGAAGTTATCATTACGTTTAATTATTTTGCAACTATGATACGAAATATATGCTTTTTACCTAGTATATAAATGAAAAAATCTTTCTATCGAATCGAAACATTCCTTGATAATATTGTTTCCAGTAATTCGTATTGTACTATGGCGAGCTTAATCTGCGACAATTTTCATGGCCATAATTTATAATCCATATTTATTAATTAAATAAAATACATTCCTAAATTGTATGTATATAAATTTTGGAGCATGTTTAAAATATAATATAGTTACTTGAGCGATTATTACGTCAAATACATGTATTAACCCGATAAATATTTCGAGTTACACAGTACAATGTCGACACAAATCGTGAGAGATCATTATTTCATTCATTGTCTTTATTCTCTACACGTACATCAGTTCATTACAGTTCAATATCTTTTATTACCTCACACAAAAATCGCGCAATTCACTCAATTATCGGATTAAAGTAAATAATTAACAGTTATCTTTAATATTTACACGTACAACATTATCCTTACTCGCTTCATATGATACAATTGCGCTACACGCTGTGTAGTCGCTAAAATAAACACGTCTCGTTCTTCAAATGCTTGTAGGATCTCAATACCAGACGATCAAGACGTCGAGATCCTAAGAGATTCCTAGATTCTTGATCTTTTTAGGTCAATCTTTTTTGGCATTATTTCTAAGCTTTTTCGATTCTTTCAATTCTATGATTCTTAGCAAGACTTGCGGTTTCTACGATTTGTATTTATATACTTGGAATATTGACTAACAGAATATTTGAATTTAGATTTCTGAAACTTTATATCACGAAATTACTGAATCGTTGCCATCTTAATCTTAAATTTCTTAAGATTTATTGATATTTTAAATAATAAGATCTCTCAAATCTTTTGCATTGTTTCTCTTTCTGTCGTTTTAAGATGCTTTTAGTTCTTTATTTCTATCAAGATCTTCACAACTATCAATTCAAATCGAAATCTGCGGCCTTTTTGTTTTTTGTCGCGGTGATGAGGAATAAAAACGGTAAGCTAGGATATAAGGAACTCGAGAAAGAGAGATTAACTCTAATCTTTGTTAAGTATCCTTGCATTTCTCGGCAATTTACGTGCAAAGGATAGCTGTGCGTTAAAGGATCGATTGTAAGAAAGGAAAAAGAATGTCTCGATAAAGTGTTTACAATAAGCAGTCAATGCGATGATTGTAGCAACGCAAGTGAAATGTATAATGGATTCTCAAATCGATTGCAATTTGTGATAATCCAGTTTACAATAAAATTGTAGATTCTAGTATAAAGAAACCATTGCATACAATAATTTCGTAATATTGCATCTCAATTTCTTTCAAAGCTCTAAATTTATAATTTTTAAGATTTAATTTTCTCGCAATTTTTTACAATTCTTAAAGTTTAGAATATCAGAAAATTAATTTTTTTTTTGTTCTCAATTTTGTACATTTGATATACCCATTATCAATGCTTTATTTAGATGTCAATATTACATTCTACAGAAAGACGAACAATCTGGAAAATAAAAAATTGAAAACATGATTTCTCTATAGATTCTCTATATTCTCCAATATTATTTTTGCCTATTGATGATGTTCTCATTACTTTTCTAAATTTTGTACGTTTATGAACAAAATCGTTTCTCTTAGTTTTCCACAGAATGTAGATCCAATTATTTTTCAAGAGAAAGAGAAAGAGAGAGAGAGAAGCGCGTAAATATTACATTGAAAGAAAACTATAAATAACAAGAGCAATAGAGCGAGAGCAGAGCGTGAATATCGTACGAACCTTGTATATATATATGTATATATTCATGTCTACTGTCTAGTTTAAGCTTCGTGAATTTATCGTACAAAACAATAGTAGAGATATGAAATTTATATAAGATCTCATTGGGAGAGAGTAGATATATTAACCACGGCTGTAAACTCTAAAATTTCCTGGGGACGAAGAATCTTTAATCGCGAAGTCAAAGTTGATTAAAGTGATCGTGTAACACTTGTCGGAAAAATTGTTTTAAGACATGCTCAACAATTTCTGGTTGTCATTCTTATCGACAGCCGATATGTGGTCTGCAGTTTCTCCATGTGCAAAACGCTCCCACATCTTTTTATATAGCATTTCCATGCCCATCGCGTATAGCTTGCAATTGAACAGCGGGCTCTCCGAGCGGGCCTTCCAAACCTTGACTCTTGTTGCTTTCAAACTGGCAAAAATTAAGAATTAAAGTCTCTTTATGCTGTATCACAAGAAAAAACTTTGCAAAATTTTGCAGTATGCCAAAATACTCACTATTCTCTGTCAGTACCCAGCCTAACAGCGATATCTTGATACTCTTGTCGTGTTCGCGCTACCAAGTCGGGGCAGCCGAGAGTGTTCAATTGACTAGCGGCGACACGAGAAGCTAGAGTCTCGCCCGGTAGCGTAACCACCGGCGTTCCGGTCCACAAAACATCCATACTAGTCGTGTGTCCGTTGCAAAGTGGCGTATCTAGACATACATCAGCTAATTGGCCTCGTCTTACATGTTCTTCTTTAGCAGCTACGTTGCTGAAGAGAATTCTGCCAGGCGTTAGACCCAATTGTTGCGCCGTCGCTTGGAGATTGGGTTCGCCGACCGCCGGAAAACGTAGCAACCATAGCACAGAGTTTGGCACATGTTTCAATATCTGCAATTGGATATTTGTATATGTTTAAGACGAAAAACTCGGCGAAGGTCTTCACTTTCCACGAAAATAATTCGATCGTTTACTTACATGTGCCCACATGTGAAGAGTGAGAGGATCAATTTTATATAACTGATTGAAATTACAATAGACAACGGCATCTTCCGGCAAGCCATACTGCTGTCTGGTTGTGATCACAATATTCTGAGGCACCTCCTCGCCCGTGGCGGCCTTGTTGTTCACCTGTGTAGTAGTCATACCATTCTGCAGGACGACACCGTTCACGGACATCTGGCATTGGCCGGAAGCGATCATTGTTTCGATCGGGGTAGTAGTCGGTAACTCGGCAACTTTGAGCGAAATCTCGACAGGTTGTTTCTTTGCGTCAGGTACAATTACCTCGCGGATCTCCTTTATCAGAGTATTTTCGATCATCGGGGAAAGATCGGTGGCATTGATTACTGCCACATTATCGGCTACCTTGCCTTTAAGATTCGATTTATCCGTCAGAATTAAACGTTCTTTCAGATGAGGAAACATTTGCCTAAAAAAGTAATAAAGTCTTGTCAAGCGAATAAATAAAAACTTTCATAAATGACAAAAATATAAAAGTTGTATAATTTTTGTTCCATATCGTAAACGCTATTTAAAAAATCTACAAATAAAATAAATTCACGTACTTGTGATCACCGATAAAGTAAGTATGCGGCATGTAAGCGAGCTTTTCGCTATATTGGTTGGCGAGTTCCAGCGGTGACGTGACCTCGTCTGTAATGAGGTAGTCCATGAAACTTGCGCCAGAAGTACCAGGATAGCCCAGCCACATGACCTGTATCGCCGCCGGTCGCAGGGCAAAGATTTCGTTCCTGGCACCCTTCGTGTAACCATTCATGTTCACTAGGATATGGATGCCGTCAGCGTTGATGCGGTCGGCGGCCTTGCCGTTGCATGGAATCTGTGACAGGTCGACGAAGTGCTCGGCTTCACGCGCGATCTTTGCACGAAAAGTTGTGCCATCATCTGCGCTGAGCGCATAACAGAAAATCTCGACATTCTCGCGCTCATGCAAGCCAGGAATCGATTGCATCAAGTGACTGGTCGGATGATTCCCAAAATCCGACGAAACATATCCAATCTTCAAGCGTGTGCCAATTGAACGCGGATATTTGTACGGCTGTTTGTGGAGAACGTGGATCTGCAACGGTTTATTCGTACATAAGTACTTAACGATAGAAAATATTTGTGAGATGGTGACTAGAATATTAATTGTTCTATGCGCAGTATATATAGTATACAGCTTACAAAGATTTATCAAATTAGACAAACGCACCCACCTTTTCGATACAAAGATTAGCATGCCTAGCAGCAATAGCCTTCCTGAACTCGTGAGACAAGGGATAAAGCATGGAATGATGCGGATGTACGCTAGGCAGTCTGTTCTTGTCCAACTGTTCAGCGACAATAGATACAAGTTTCTTCATTCTGGCTTCGTAGTCTGTCCAGTCGCACACTATCTGTAGACAATGCGCAAGATTGCAGTAGGCGTCAGGAAAATCTGGCTTCAGCTTCAGCGCTGTTCTGTAAGACTGTATCGCTTCAGGAATGTTGCCGGAATCTTTGTGGATCGATGCCAAATTGGAATGAGCGTCGGCGAAAGCTGGATTGATTTGAATAGCCCGTGTGTAGCACTGTAAAGCGCCCTGAATGTCCTGCATCTCTTTGAGCGTGTTTCCCATATTTGAATAAGCATCGGCAAAGGTCGGTTGTATGCGAATTGCTTCCTTGTAATGCATCAGCGCCTCGTTTAGTTTGCCCTGCTGCTGCAAGACGGAAGCCAAATTGCTATGAGCAGCTGCGAACTCAGGAAATACCTCCAGAGCTTTAAGATATAAACGTGTCGCTTCCTCGATATAGCCTTGCTCGCGTTTTATGTTGGCCTAAAAAAAAGAGAAATCGTTTATATCATTGCGATTTATTTAATATTGTCACAGTTTATTGTTAAACTTAGAATGGCGTAATTTCATACCAAATTATTGAGAGAATCGGCGTGTGTCGGGCAAAGCCGGAGGGCGGTATTGTAACATTCTTCCGCCTCGACCACTTGACCCTTCTCTTTGAGGGCGTTTGCCAGATTGCAATATGCATCTGGGAAATTTGGCTGCAATTCAATAGCACGGCGATACGTGTCGATGGCCAGATCAATAAGCCTATAATATCAAATAATTTTCGATTGCGCTCATTTTCTTTGTAAATTTTTATCAAAAATGCAAACACAAATTATCAACTTACCCTTGCTCGTAATAAACGCACGCCAAATTTCCATGCACGACTGCATTGTTAGGGCTAAGATTCAATGCACGTAGATAAGCAGCTACAGCTCTAGAACAATTGATAAACAAAGATAATCATCGGTTAAGGACCACATTTCCGATAAAAAAAAAAGAGAGAGAGAGAGAGAACTCGGCTGTGAAAGAATTAGGTATTAATAATACTAAACATAAATGCTATCTTTTATATCCGCGAAAAAGTTGCTCTTTTCATTCCAGATCGTAATTGTAGAGACTAATTGCTTCGATAAAAAAAGAGAGAGAGAGAGAGAGAACTCGGCTGTGAAAGAATTAGGTATTAATAATACTAAACATAAATGCTATCTTTTATATCCGCGAAAAAGTTGCTCTTTTCATTCCAGATCGTAATTGTAGAGACTAATTGCTAATACAGCTCCCGACGTTACAGAGACGAGTCTGATGAACCTTTTAAGATAGCGCCTGATCCAGGAGAGGCATCCAGAAGTGGAGGGTCGCGCGATAGTATCTTCTATTTGTACGCGAAGCGCGGGCGCGATAGTACTCGAGGGTGAGATCACCGTATAGACGACCACGCACTGGCAGTCCATTCCTTCCCCATCCCGCCCGTCGTGGATCCCGCGGATCCCAGAAGTCCACGGATCTGAGTGCGAGGAAAGGATCCTTGACAAAACGCGGCTCGTGAGATTAGCAACGAATCCTTGGATAGGCAGCGAGCGAAAAAAATGCTGAATCTTCCTCGAGAGATCCTTGGAAGTAAGGAATTCTTGGAAGAGCGCAAGTTCATGCAAAATGCGTAAAGCACGAAAAATGTTGAGTCCACAAATTTATCGAAAATTAAATCATTCTTCCGATAATCTCGTCGGATTCGTGTGTTTCGAATGGACTTTTAATGTTTCCAAGTATAATTCTTAAGATGCCAGAAATCGGGTTAAAAAGGAGACTGAATATACCAGTTTGAAGATATGTGCAAATCCTTAGATTTCTTCTACGTTTCCATGGACCCAACGATCTTCTCGACGAACGTGTTAAAACAAAAAGCACGAATCCTTAGATATGTGGATCCCAGAGAACACAAATCCTTAGATGCACGTTGATATCTAAGCGCGGGAAACGAAATAGGAATTACACCAGCGCGAATAGTAATAGTTTTGGATCCACGTGGAGACAGGATCCACTCATCTCAGGATTCACAGATGATATCTAAAGCAGCAGGAGATGAAGCGGGAATTACAAGCCCGCGGATCCTGTGATCAGGGAGAAGGCTAGCGGTTGAAGGAAAGCTGTTTAACTCGCGAGCGAGCGAGCAAGATTCCCGTTTTCGGTGAAAATCGTGAACGAGCACGCGTATCCTCCCGCAAGGAAAAGAGAGGAGAGGGGCGAAGGACTTCCGTGGGGGCGGAGCGGTTGCTAGAATCGATAGTTGTCCTCGAATTTCTCCCACTTTGTGCGTGAAAGGACTCCCCCTCCCCTCAAACTAGAGTCGGGATTACCAAGAAACGCGTTCGATGGATCCATTATTATCACATATGTTAATTGATTATATTTTATTTTATGTTATGTAAATTATAATTTATAGGCACATTCATCAAACAAAGAAACTTATATATATATATATAATATAAATTAATAAAAAAAGAAAATACATAATAAATTAAAATAAAACGTGTAAAATTCAAAATTATTTTTGAACATTTTTTACCTATTAATAAATAAAGTACTTTAATATGTCGGTCGAGAAAGAGTTAATGTTAAGAGATGTGGCAGTATATAAGCGATATTTGGCAAACGGTGATCGCGTAGGCAGAGATGATATTGCGAGCGGATTTCTTTTATTTTGTTGATGGTCGTTTAGACGAATCTTGGCGAAGATCGATAGAACCGCAGGCGTTAAATGTAGTTAAGGAGAAGGACGAACGTGTTATGTAACCATGGAAGCGGCTTTTATAATCAATGGTCTTGGAAACTCCAAGAATTTATACTCAAAGAGACAAGAGAATCGAAAATAGAGAGAATAGACAGGGCAATATATATCAAGATATACAGATGCATTAGTAATAAAATCTGCGAAACTAATTGTAAGAAAATTCTTTGGTACTAAAAATACAAAAGAAGTTGGTGGTTAAAGTCGTGTCGTTATAAACTACTGTTGTATGTGGATATTAATAACACGAAATGCTTTGCGTGTAACTCTTTGTGAGAAACGTATCTAGAGAAAAACTGTGCATTGTCCGAATCCTCGTTCGAATACAGAGGACGACGAACTTGAAAAAGACATTACATGAATATCGATCCGGTATTCACTCGACGGTTCATGCGCTGTATTCGTTTGTCTCTGAATGCAACGAAAATATATGTCACGTTTATTCATATACTTATATATCGTCTATATATCTATATATCTAACACTTACAACCTCATGATCTATGTATATGTGTGTGTGTGTGTATATATAGGCAATGCACGCATAGATATAAAACTTAAAAATATTTTCTGCATACATTAATATACGGAAAATATCTGTAAATTTTATACTTGTAACAAAAAGGAGAATACGGAAGTAAAATAGAAGACTTGTATGGCTTTGGACTAGCCACTAATAATAATTTTATGTAATGTATCAGTGGAATAACTAAAGCCATTTTTTATCTCGCACAGACTTTAAAACCGACGACGACGGAAATTTCGAGACGTCGATTGATCAAAACTGTGCGCGTGTGTATTATTTCGCCCATCATTTTCGTAAATTTGAATCATTTAAAGAGCATTTATGTTATAAATAAGAAATGAATGCTTTAGAAGTTACGGGATTCGAACCTAAGATAAAAAATTTTTAGGATTTTTGTATTGAGAGTTTCGTTGACTTGCTCTAAATTGCCACGTATAACACAAATATATTGAAAGATCCCTGTTTTATAAATAAATACGATAAAATTTTAACTTAGACTGGATTACTAATTAATTCTGATCACACATTTGAATCTAGTAAAATTAATTATTACACATAATTCATAGTATTTATTATTTGATCGTATTACCAAACTTTATTTGACGATTCATTATTCGCGACAAAATTCAAAATAGAATTCCGTTTATAATTTTATGTGCTATATATAATACATCCTAACGTGCGTGTTTCTTGATATGTATTTTGATTGATATGTATATATGTGTACATAAATGTTTTCTATATATTAGACGATATAATAAAGTTATAAATAGAGTTCTGTTTCTAAATATATCGTGAATTATAGATCGTTTTTAAGAAATATATTTAGTGAATAATGCATGGAAACAAACCTGTCAAAGATCCTAGCTTCTTTTAATACATTTCCAAGATTGATATAGGCATCTAAGAAGTTTGGATCCAAGGCAACCGCTTTCTCGAAGTGGTGTATCGCGAGCCATATCTCCCCTTGCGCGTTAAACACGCATCCGAGATTACTCCAAGCAACCGCAAAATCCGGTCGCGTCTCAATCGCCTTCAAGTAGCAAGCCTAGAGAAACAGAATGCGATTTATAACGACTTTTATTCGCGAACTCAGAGAGACGCGCGCTGCGCGCTATGCCCGACCTCCCATCGTCGCGCCGCAGCTTTTCTTTCTTTCTCACTCATTCACTCTCTCACTCACTCTCTGTTTCATATATTCTCCCTTTCTTTCTTTCTCTCTTTTTCTCTCCCCTTTTCACCCTCTCGACTCCACAAATAATATATTTGATCGTTCTATATCTTTTCTGTTTCCTTTCCTCGCACGTCTCTTTTCTTTTCAACTTCAATCGATATAAGTACACGGAAAAAAAATGCTGTTGCTTCTATTAAAGTCTACGTCACGGGCTGCTATAAGCATACATAGTTCATTCAATGATATTTTTATTGGGCCAAATATCTGGATAGTTGTTTTAATAATCCAGATATTTGGTCCAATAAAAATATCATTGAATGAACTATGTATGTTTGTTGGCAGCCCGTGACGTAGACTTTAATTGAAGCAACAGTATTTTTTCCGTATAGTTTCACTTGTCTCTTTAGAGTTGCTTGAGTTCTTCCATGATTTCTTGCAATCTTTCATGGGATGAATTTTTTGTTTGTTCAGATTTCATAGTATTTAGAAATATAAAAGATTGCTAAAAAATTTCACCAAAGTTATTGAAATTTATTTAATGAAAATCAACGTTTCTAACTCTAATAAAAATTCTGATAAGAGAAGATTGACTATGTCAAATTTTGGTCTTATGTTAATTAAGTACTTTTTATTTGGTTCAGTAAGTGCATTGAGTCTTGAACGATTTGAGTAAAATGATGTATTTAAAGTAAGTCTGAAGAGAAAATTATATATTATATATTTATTAAAGAATCAACATTAGGAAGACTTGCATCTTTTCTAATGTGCGTACGAAATGAAAAGTCAGAACAAAAGGAAAAATTCATGAAAACTTTTTTCAAAATAAAGACGTTTGAAACCAAAAATCTATAAAGATATAAAACCGCAGGATATAATCTGTACAATTAAAATTATACAGTAACTCTCACTAAATTCTCTAAGTTACAATTTAATAAATTTCCCAACAAAAGCATCTCATATCGAAATCGCTATGTATATCAAAGATTTATAAGACAATGCGAGTTTAAAGTATTCGGCAGACATTTCTTCCGTAAATATCACTTTTTTTTTTATACAATCACAATAATTTTAGTTCATTCGATTTATGGATTCATCTTTGATTCTCCTCGAGCGTTATCATTCTTGAGGTATGTAATTTGTCCTCTTTCTATGCTCGTCGAGGGCAAGAAAGGGGGTAAGAAATGGAAACAGAATGAACGAAAGTTGCCTCACAAACGTGATCAAAATTGCATTCTCGGATAGGAATCGGAAAAGTGTTAAGGAAAATAAAGGTATCTAGGCGCGCGCTAGAGGCGTCATCGTGAATAACGCGCGACTTCCGGTGCACGCGGAATCCCCGAAATGCGTTCGGTGGACTCGATTGCACGCTGAAGGCCGTACGCTAAAACTGAAGTCAACTCGAAGTCTCTTCCAAACTTATGTGATAAAGCTACTTATCGATGAAAAAGTATCATGATTTACGTAACGCGACGACGGGATGACGACCCTAAGAATTTAGCGTGGACGATCATCGCGCGTGCCGAGAGGCGGGCTGCATTGATATTGAAAACAGAGTAATCTTCGTACCTAAACAATAAATAAGAGGGCATTTACAGTCGACCAGTCTCTGCAGGATAAGAGGTTTGCTTGGAATTAAAGAAAAAAAAGCGGAAAAGAAAAGGATCGCGCGATCTTTTTTATATATACAATTTTATATAGCATTAAATTAAAATAAATTATTTAATTTTTTGAAAGATATTGCAATATTATTCAGCGGAATGATGTACAACGTATTGCTCGTTTTTAATATAACACTTCGAAAATCAGATAATGATAAATGCAATAATATTTACATGCAATAATATGTATAATCTTTTCTTTAAAATTATTTTAACGATAAGAACGTAAATGAACATTATTGCAGGGACAAGTAAATTTAGAACACCCTGTACAACGTTTCAAAAATCAAAAAATTTTCTTTGCAGAGTCTCGAAGTTCATTTAAGCAAACTGGAAGCCTGATTTGCATAATACTGATGCATATAATACAAGTGAATCTAAGTAACAAATAATATATATCGATCGCTCTTCGTAAAATCACTTCGCAGGATAGTGGGACAAAGAACCCTTTTTCGACAGGAGCCGGTCGAAAGAGGAGATTGGATTGATTGTAGGGGTCTTTGGAGACCGGCCTTGGGAATTACTTTACCTGCAGTGTACCCTTCGGTAGGCTGACTCGGTAGGTACGGCTCGCAAGCTCTCATAATAAACTTAGACCGAGAGACAGTGTGTTACTGAATAACCAGATTCAGATTCACCCTTTGACGAAGGAACCGGCGCGGTAACCGACCAATCTCACATTGCTCCTGCACTTCCCCTCCTAGAGTTGATCATCCCGTCCACAACAATAAGACAGCTGCGTTAATGTCTCTTCACTGATTACTCTCGCCTCAAATCTTTGTCTTTTTTTTTTCTTTTCTTTCTACATACGTGTGTGCGTGTGTGTGTGTGTGTATGTGTGTACACAAGAATTGATAATTTGCGTGTCCACGACACGCCTCACCGAGCTCATCAGCCAGCTGAGAATTACGTGTCTCGATTTTCTCTCACGATCAAACCGCAGATTACACTTTTCTTTTCTTTTTTGCTATCTTTCTCTCTCTAATATATAAATGTTCCATTACATTATATTATCAGCTGTCTTATATTTTATTCGTTTACGATGTTCATAAAAATAAATGTGGCTAGAGGAGCTCGGCAAGAAACAAACGAGCATAGCAACCAGTTCTCGGGAATAGCGGGAAATGTAACGGGAAGCTTTCCTCGTTGCTCTCATTTTCAGGACCGAACACGAAGGCGTATCTGTAAATCTCATATATATATAATCATGCGCAACGTTATCTTTTCATTATCTAAAATAGCTAGAAATATTTCAAATTAAGAAAAAGAGTATACAGCACATTTACGAATACGCTCCCGTCGGTCGACGCCGCGCCGCGCTTTGAAAGTGTCAAATCACTTGACCATTTAACAATAGACCAATGTCAGAAAGCAACTCGCGGACACCGCCAGAAGTCCCGCGAGTTTAATAATTTCGAAATACTACGTTTATCGTCGCGTGATCTTTTTAAAATCTGATCCTTTTTCGTGCAAAATTAAATTAAAAATCGCAATTACTATTCGATGTGGCGTTCAACAAGTTCCGATTTAAAAGAGCGCAATTGGTCAAGTGATCTCGCGCCAATATATAATTTTCACTGTACACACTGTAGATTCTCTCCTTCTCTCTTTCTATCATCAATTATTCATCACATGAAAGTGCTGAAAAAAAAACACGTGGCACGTGGCGATGCACGTATGCCACGATAACAACAGCAAAATCGCACACTCACAAAACAAGAGACAAAAGTCAGCTCATTCACTAAACGTTCGCGCGCTGCCAGCCATCGAATTCAAATTAAAATGGCGTCGAATGGTACTGGCTAAACAATGCTATAATTTGCGACAACATCAAGAATTCTCGAAATAGTAAAAAAAAAAAAAAAAAGAAAAAAAATATAACAAAATCAAAAGTGTACTTTTTCTCGGTGTTGCTGCAAAACGCGCAATGCTAGAGAAAATATTCTCCTCAATTATACTTCGACAATAACCCTAAACATTATAAAAAAGATTTGTTTACATTCTTTATTTTAGAAATTTTATTTAAAGATTATGGTAAACAGGTCTATCGTATGATTAAAAAAGAAAGAAAAAAATTATTATAAAACTTAATCCCTATTTTAAAATGTCCGATCAAATTTCAATTGTCTTGTCGTCAATTTGTTCAAACAAAGAAAGACTCGCAAACTTTTCCAAAACATCAATTAAAAAAAATGCGTCTGTCAGAAACGTCTGTTATATTGTTTAGGGTTTTATATTAAGAGACCGTCGCTTAATGTCGCTACGAAAACTAGAATTCTACGCGGCGACATGAAACGCAGTTCTTTTCGATTAGGTTGAAGAAACACGCACGATTTTCGATTCGTCGTCGAGACATACCGTGATCGCGCTTTCAACAATGTTTCTCGCTTACTTGCCTATTTCCTTGATGGAGAAGGTAACTATCGAATAAAAAGATTAGAAATCTTCTACGGATAATTCTATCAAATTTATATTCTCGACGACGGAGAAAATTGTGCGTCGCGCTTGCAAGTTGCTCGGCAAAGAATGAAAGCTTCTCGTCGCAACGGCGCGAACAAATCCTGTTCTGCCCGCTTATTTCATAGAAAACTGCGCACTGTAGCTCGCGCACATACGCGCGATGCATTTGTACTCCGAGATCAAGAGATGTGAAAACCCAATAGCAAAATATTTTTTTGTTAATTAGAGCAAAGCGTCACAATCGAACATTCTCTCCTCTGCTCTTCTCTGTAAATTTATCTCCTTGATCTAGAGGAGACATTAAAAGAATTGATTGTTATTAATTTTTGTTCCTGGGATTTAGGAAAAGTGATGCAATATTCAGGATAGGATAGATTGATAGATTTTGTTGAAATTGAAAAACTTCTCTATAACAATCTCTTACTAGTTCAAGGAGCATAATGCGTTATTCCTTACTCGATGTTTCAACCGTCTGTAACTTGATCGAAGTAAAGATGCTCGCGAACATATGCATGATATATCGGATTAGTTTATCAACTATAAATGGTTCTAAAACGTACCTTTGCTTCATCAAGTCTTGCTAGTGCTTTCAAAAGATTACCAAGATCACTCCGCACACAATAAAGATCCTGGAACAGGCGAAATATGTTAATTATTTCCACATGTTGTGGCTCATCTTACTTAAGATAAAAAAGATTTGATAAAATGGAATATTAATTCACTAATAAATAAATGTGAATTTATAGATCCAAAGAATGATATAAAATCTCATTAGTTTAATAATTTCACTATATAAAGCATAATATTTTGCAACTTAAATCTTATAAACAAGAATTTTGTTTTTTCTAGCTTTCATATACTTCTTGGATGTGTTTTAAGTAACAGCTAAATGATAATATATTCGTAATGTCGATTTTCTCACAGGATTGTATTGTAGCGCTGTAACATATGCTTGAACAGCCTGTTCCATATCACCAGCTGCAACGAGTGCTGCTGCCAAGTTGATGTAACCATCAATAAAGTCTGGCTTCAACCTGACAGCATGACGATAGTTCTCCAATGCTTCCGGTAGTTGTCCACGTTCCTTATATACATTCCCCAAATTGCTGTATGCCTCCGCCAACAACGGATTTTGCTTTATCGCTAAGCTGCTGTAATGTGCTGATCTGGAATGCATAAAGTTATATCTTTATATGACATATCTAAAAAAATACATATAATTATTTATAAATATAAATTTGCTGGTTTCTCCGTGTAACATGTTTAATTTTGAATGTATCTACTCTTGAATACTAAATACGATAAGAGATTACGTACTTCTCTAGCCTTCTACATTGGAAATGTATCGAGGAGAGTAAAAGAAGAACGCCAGTATTGTTCGTTTCCTGTCGCCATAGCTGCATACAGTGTCTTTCGGCATTCTCATAGTCCCCTGCTTGATATTCTCTGTGAGCGAGTTCCAACAACCCTAAAATAAGAATTGAGATACATAAGATATTTTGTAAGTAGTATTCGATTCGTGTTAAATTCAAGTTCAATAGAAATATATGTAAGATATTTCTGTAATCGGGTTACATATATATTTTTCGTTCACGCTACTTAATATCAGATATAGACATTAGTGAATGTTTTCATCGTTTTTTTTTTTTTTTTTTTTTTTTTTTTTTTGTTTGAATACAAAGTATTCTCCTCATTCTCTATCCTTCTTCACCCTTCTTTTCCGCAGCGACAGACGAGCCGATTGGTCGATGCTGTAGCGTCAAAGTGAAGAGTGGTCGAAGCGGAAAACTTCAGGAGCGTACGTATTAAATGTTTCTACACACGTTATGTATTTCTATACTACCGTGAGAGAAAATCCTCTCTTTAGAGCTATACTATGTAGCTACGTTTTCACATTTGAAGAAAGAAAACATTTCTAACTATCTTGAATTTATATATATGTATGCTACATTCATTTTTTTAGCTTATAAAATTTAAAAGCGATCAATTTTAGTTATTAAAAATTAGAAGAATTGCGATTTATACTAAAGACTCTCACATATATACGCACATATATTCCGTAATATCATCGGGAAAATAATAATTCTACATGAAAAAAATTAGTCAAAAATGTAAAACAAATTTTTTTTTTTCGTACGAGGCTTTATCGTCGATAAAATTGATAACATTTATCATTTTTTAAACTTGAATAATATCTTGTATTATATATTATTGTACAATCTTGTATTATATATTATCAAATTTCGACAGTAATTATCAAAATATGTCTGAAAGACATTTTTTTTCTATTGAAAAAATAAGATTTATCTAGATACTTTTTATATAAAATTTCTCTAAGTAGGAACTGAGATTATATTGAGATACCAAATTAAAAATAAAATATTTAATATGCTTAATGACTGTTCTTTGTGCGTACTTGTTAAATTAAAATCAAAAGATCATAGAAAATTAAATTTTATCTTTGATCGATATCACATTTGAAAATGTTCTGAATAAACGTTCGTACTAGCATTGTTTGTCAATTGCTACACACGTCCCTGTCCTGAAAGGGAACCACAGCTAGAGAAACTCTAAACGAGAAAGGGAGAGAGAGAGAGAAGAGGGGAGAGTGTTACCCCTGGCTCGGTGCAGATGGCAGATGGGGAATAGATATTCAAGTGGAATATATATCGCGTTCAACGAGAAAGAAGAGGAAACAAAGAGAGAGAGAGAGAGAGAAAGAAAGAAAGAGAGATAGAGAGGGGGAAGGACATCCGCTGTTAGGGAAGGGATAGCAAAGAGCATATCGACGACACGTTACCGCGCGCGCGATGAATGTTTCATGTGAAAAAGGGAAAAAAAAACTAAGAAAATATTCTCTTTTGCAAATGATGTATACTGATGTATTATGATGAAATAATTGGGGGGTCTGATCAAAATAAACTATTAATTTATTTTATCTATAAATAAACGCGAAATATCGGGATGATATAATTTTCGTAAAAAAAATTATAGATTTTTCTTTATGAATTTATCATCATCTCTCTCTCTCTATCTATCTATCTATCTCTATCTCTCTCTCTCCCTTTATAAATTCATACTAAATATACCCATTGCCATCATAAATAAAACCGAAAATTGAAAAAATATTAGATTTATAATGTTATATTCTCTTTTTCTCATTTACTTGCGTTTGTTCATTCTATTCGCACCTGTCCTTTTATACGCCTTCTGCACGCAACACGGAGCATGCGTAATGCGCATACGCACACGCACGCACGCACGTATATATATACATACATCATACATATATATGTATAATATATAGATGAAAATTATGAAAGGATGCAAAAAGTGCAATCACAATATCACAAAGAGCAAAACTTACGTCAATGTATCTGTGCTACAGATACAGAAAAGAAGAAACAAGTACAATGGAGTAATATAAATGATACTAAAGGTTAAAAGGGACGCTGCTCTCGAAGGCGGATTTCGAGGAGCCGTGAAACAAACAGGCAGGGGCCAACGTACCGACAGTCGACAGCTGCTGAATCTCGTTCATTTTCAATATTACATTGGTGCCCGCTATCTGCTGATGGCCCTGCTGTGGCTGCTGCTGCTGCTGCTGCTGCGTTTGCTGTTGCGCTTGCATGGCTGCGTCCGTGACGAGGCTCCAAAATGGAACGGCCGATGCCGAGAAGCACACGCGGCGGGAGAGCGAACACTTGACAGTTAGCGTGCCTACGATCGTAGCTCGTGGAGGATCGCTCGCGTCCGCGTGATCCGATCCCGATAAACGACAGATTCGCGTGTGCGAACGATGCGACTTTTTTCGACGTGTGTATGCCCGTAATGTGATTTTTCACGCGCGCGCCATCATGAAATCCTTCACTAGCAGTGCGCCGGAAATTCGAGAGTCACGTTCGGCCGTCTTCGGCGATGCTCGCGAACGTTCGGCAGCGACGACAGAGACAGACGGATGAGAGAGAGAGACAGGGCATATTTTCAATATATCTGCCAATTTTGCGATTAACCTCGTCGAGATAAAATTATGTAAAATTAAATTGAGAAATGAGATTAATACGAGGCGAATCGCCTGAGAATATGTATCAAGTCCTTTTAAAACGAATTTTTTTTTCTTTCTCTCTCTCTCTCTCTCTCTTTCATGTATGTATATACATATTTTCTTTTACCTCGAGAAAAATGGAAAAAAAAAGAAAAAAAAAAGAAAAACCTACAACAATAATTAAAAAAAAAATAAAATTGAATTTTATTATAAGAAATAAGATAAATTGAGATGCGATGTAAAACTGAAAGTATCAGCAAAAAAATATCTTAATAGCGGCATAAAAAAAAAAGACGATTATCGCGTATCACACATTTTTAATGATTCTCGGGCATTCTCGGACAGAGAAAAATCGCGAAGGTCGTCAAGTTGTAGAGCCAATCGATGGATGCTTTCGCGCAATGTCGTGTCACGTGACATCCTCTGACAGTAGCGTTCCAAGCATTTCCGCAATGACATGCGTACGGAACATTTTGTATTAAAATATCAGGGAATGTCTTGTATATTTTATAAAAAATAACAATCGTTTTTCTTTAACAATATCAACTTTAATAATTTGATAAAATTATATTTTTAATATAACGGAACCCCTCCCCCTCCCTCGTATAATAGCGAACTTTGAAATAGCGCGCAAAATTCTTTTTCCATAAGCCCTATATATATATATATATATATATATATATATATATATATATATATATATATATATATATATATATATATATATATATATATATATATATATATATATATATATATATATATATATATATATATATATATATATATATATATATATATATATATATATATATATATATATATATATATATATATATATATATATATATATATATATATATATATATATATATATATGCTAGCACACGTGAGAAGTGGGATAGCGGTGTATCTGTCTTTTGGCTGAAAAATAACGAGTGGACGAAATGATATTGCTACGGCCCTGAATTTCACAGCTTGTGAAATGGGGACAAAGGACAGCCAAGCTCGATATTACGTTCAGAGCCCCAAACCGCGCGCGAAGAAAGGTTTCACACAGAATATATCTTCTAAAATACATACTTATTGTTGGAACTTCTGGAATCTTTTACTTACAATTAGATTATTGTATATTAAAAAAAAAAATTAAAATATATATATAAAATATATAAATTTATAGTATATTTAAAATATACTAATGTGCGTGTGTATGCGATTTGACTAGAATATTTGTGGCTCGAAAGGATCATTCTGCTTCGTAGACGTTCCTGATCGGTCCGGCATCTTGAAATTCAACGGCCGGCCGGCGTATACGTTCGACGAACCGGCACGTCACGATCCCCCACTTCCCACTTTCGTCAGGTTTCTCGTCTCGATTTCCCGTCGTCTCGTTCTCACTCAATCGCGGCTAGTCGACACCGCATGGTTCTGTGTTCCATTTCGACCTTGCTACATATTATTTGCAAATTTATTATGGCGGAGAACAAGGAACGCACCTTTATCATGGTCAAGCCAGACGGCGTGCAACGTGGTCTGGTTGGCAAAATTATCCAACGATTTGAGGAGAAGGGCTTTAAACTGGTGGCTATGAGGATGGTCTGGGTGAGTAGTTGTCGCGTGTAATTTTATTGTAATATTACACGTTATAACTTGACTGAGATTGTGACCAAGAATTCATGGGCACGCCACGTGGTCCTCAAAAAGATTGAGTCTTCGATGACATATTACAGGATATATTTATTAAAAATTCGAAGTCCGGAGTTAAAATTATTCTATCTTATTCCTTTGTTTCGAATATATAACCGTACCAATAAATACAGTGTACATTTAACAAAAGCAGATTGTCGAGCAACGGCGGAGTCATACTCGAATCTAATTCGTGATATCCATAGATAGATATAAAACAATAAATTCGATTGTTTTATTCATAAATTGCAGATAAAATTGTCTTTGTTGAATCAGATATTGAGTATCGACATTGGTTTGTAAGAAACGTAACAAACTAATAGGCACTAATCTTAAGAACTATATATATATATGTGTGTGTGTATATATATATGTATATGTATATGTATACGTCAAAAACGAGATAATGTCACGTAACATGTCGATATGGTCATGGTCATACAAAGAGACTTTTTAAGAGAATAAATAAAAGAAAAAAAAAATGCATTTTGTCTCGTTATCTCGATCAATCAATTGTCGAGATTCGAATTTTCAGAAATACTCAACTGTGATCGATCGATACCATTTAATTTATATTATTTATATATTTTATATATTATATGAATTAAGCTTATATACATCCGGACGGAATATGATACGGCTACAAAAATCTTTTAAGGTTAAAAATCCGTCGTCGACATCCGTGCGACGACGAAAGTGCGCGAAATTTGAAATATTAGTTATACTTGAGGCTGATGTAATTTCTAATTATCTTGAAAATATGACAGAATATCTCAAACTTATCTCTATAAATATAACGATATAAATTATTCCTATAACTTATGTATATATATATATATATTTTTTTTTTGTATTTACATTATAGCCTACTGATGAGCTCTTGAAGCAGCATTACGCTGATCTAGCATCAAGGCCTTTCTTCCCTGGTTTGATCACATACATGAGTTCAGGACCAGTTGTGCCGATGGTAAGTTTTGTTATCATGTTATAATGAAATAATGCTAATATATACAATAATGAATTTCTTAGTCTTTTAAAGTAAATAATAGCAAAGTGCTAAAAAAACCAAGTAATATTTGCATATTATAATTTATTCTCTTAATAAAATTGTTGCTCTTTAGGTTTGGGAAGGTTTGAATGTCGTGAAAACTGGTCGCGTGATGCTTGGCGAGACGAATCCAAAGGATTCCGCACCCGGTACAATCCGCGGCGATTTTTGCATACAAGTCGGTCGGAATATCATCCATGGTTCCGATTCTGTCGAATCAGCCAAGAAGGAGATCAATCTATGGTTCGGCGAGAAGGAAGTGATCGACTGGACGCGCGCGTCCGAGAAATGGATCTACGAGTAAAGATTGGATTCTCTCTCTGATGGAGAAAAATTTTCCCAGAAGACATCATCTCTCTATAAAGCCTTTAGAGAATCTTCCCAAACTTATACTGCCAGCCAAATTACATACAAATAATTCGAATTATTGGAAGGCTGAGATTTGAATAAAAATAACTTATTTGTAAAGAATGAATAAAAGATTATGGAATTCTTTATCAAAAATTTTGAGATGTGAAATTATAGGGTTATCTCTAAGGTTATCGCATTGTCAAAATATTTAAGAAGATATAAAATTGCTGAAATAATTCATATCCCAATTTTGGGTGTAGAAGCTATTATAATAAAATATGAAAGAATATAAAATCAATTTTTAGTAAAGATATAAGATTACTAAAGGCCTCCGCACAATCGAAAATATAAGAAACAGGGAACAAATATTAGAGATAAGAACTGACTTGACTTTTGTTAAAATAACTTTACAGTATTTTAAAGTAAAGTAACGTTACTTTAAAGTAACTTATAAGCTATGTACACACCACATAACCTGGAAAATTGAAAGAAAAGTTACTTTAACAAAAGTCACGTCAGTCCTTATTTCTAATATTTGTTCCATGTTTCTTATATTTTCGATTGTGCGGGAGCCTTTAATTACAAGCGGAGAAAATCTGTCGCCAAAAAAATAGTGTGTTATAATTTAAATAATTGAAAGTTGTATAGTAAAAAAAGAAACAATAAACTGCAGAACTTTGAGAAATTAAGAAATGTGAAACATTGGGCGGAAATGTACAAAAAATTAATGTAAAAAATTTACATTAATTTTCGATTTAGAAATTAAAAATTATCATAAAAATAAAAAATAAAAATTAGCTGCCGAATTATAAAAGATTAAAAGCTGTCGCGAAAAATGCAAAGAAAATGAGCTGCCGCATTATTAAAAATTAAAAATTGTAAAGAAAAATTAGGCCCTGCGCACAATATAGAAAATATTAGAAATAGGAATAAAATATTAAATATCAGGAGGAGCAATTTGGAATTATTTTACTTCAAACAAGGTAAAATAATTCCAAATTGCTCCTGATATTTAATATTTTATTTTTATTCCTAATATTGCCTCTATTGTGCGCAGGGCCTTAGCTGCCGAATTATAAAAAATTAAAAGCTGCCGTAAGAAATTAAGCTGCCGAATTATTAAAAATTAAAAGATATCATAAAAAAAATAAAAAATTAGTTGCCGAAATATAACAAATCAAAAGCGATCGTAAAAAAAGAAAAAAAATTTAGCTGCCGAATTAAAATTAAAAGCTGCCGTGAAAAATATAAAGAAAATAAGCTGCCGCATTATTAAAAATTAAAAGCTATCGTAAAAAAAAAATTTGCTGCCGAATTATAACAAATCAAAAGTGATCGTAAAAATAAAAAATTAGCTGCCGAATTATAAAAAATTTAAAGCTGTCGTGAAAAATATAAAAAAATTAGCTGCCGAATTATAAAAAATTAAAAGCTGCCGTGAAAAATGCGAAAAAATTAAGCTGCCGAATCATTAAAAATTAAAAGCTATCGTAAAAAAAATAAAAAAATTAGCTGCCGTATTATAACAAATCAAAAGTGATCGTAAAAATAAAAATTTAGCTGCCGAATTATAAAAAATTTAAAGCTGTCGTGAAAAATATAAAAAAATTAGCTGCCGAATTATAAAAAATTAAAAGCTGCCATGAAAAATGCGAAAAAATTAAGCTGCCGAATCATTAAAAATTAAAAGCTATCGTAAAAAAAAAATAAAAAAGTTAGCTGCCGTATCATAAAAAACTGAAAATTATCGTAAAAATAAATTACAAAAAAGAATATTGTAAGAAAAATATAAGAAAATTGTCAAATTATGTAAAAAATTTAAAAGCTTTCGTGAAAAAAGAAAAAGGAAATAAATTGCTGAATTATTAAAAATTAAAAATGTTGCCAAAACATTTCTTAGAGACTCAAAGAATGCATGAGATTAGAGACTCAAGAACACACTAAAAAATAATGTATTATAGAAACATAAAAATAAATTATTGTAATTTAACGAAATTTTTTTGCAAATACAGAAACATTATTAATTGCAATGTATAAAAACGAAAAAGAAACATTTTACAACTTTATTAAAACTACGTAAATTATATTATTGTTAAACGCGGATACTGAAAAGTTGTAACATAATAATGTAAATCTTTTTTGTAAATAAAATAAAAAATTTATTTGTAAAAATAATATAATATTATACATATTATTTTCTGCTCACCGACGTGCGTCCGGCTAAAAATCGGCGCTAATTGACCAGATTTTACTTAATAATATAACTCCTTTATTAAGCGTTATATAAAAAAATGTTACAGGACTTTTCTGTTCAGTTTACTGTGCTTTAGCCGCTCACGAGCGTTGGCACAATCTTTACCGGACACCCTGTATATTCTTCGTGGCACTCGCACACTCACTCGCATAAACATGATTAATTATAATTAGCCGTATACATAATGATCGCGAGACACTGCACTCCCGATCGCGGAACACACACGAGATATGCATTCTATTATACCGTAAGACAGAGCAACACACGAGAAGTACGATTTGTTCGACGTTTACATGAAGTCAAAATCATGCGCTACTCGTTACAACAATGCTATTTTTCTCTTTCTCTCTCTCTCTCTCTCTCTCTCTCATGTTAATATATGTATATGTACAATAACATGAATCGCGTAAGATCTAAGATCGGAAGTGATTCTGAATAATTACCAAATTTAAAGTAATATACGAAATATATTTGACTCTAACAATAAGCATTGTTAGAGAAATAATTCTTATCCGGAAATATCGATAATTGAAGGATCGTAACGAAACGATAATTTATATAATTTTATGCTTGCTGCTTTGCTTTTTATTCACAATGATAAATAATCGCGATACAATTTCATGCCGTTTATCAAAAGTTAATTAATTGTTAATTGTAATAATCATAGCGAATTATGTTTCAATACTAGTAGCGATCGCGTTTAGAAATAGAATTTAACAATATACGAAGCGTTTCGCACTACTATACTGTTTACTGCTCAAGCGTCACCGTGCGAATGATAACAGGTAGGAAAGGAATTTGTGTGACAAAGCGCGTCTCCCACTACTACAATATTGTTCAAGTATCGCCGTACAAACAATAACAAGGCCGTAGCATGTAAACAATAGCGCGCTATTTGCCGCCTAGGTCGAATAACATTGATAATTTGTTGCCGAAATATTTTACGTACTATAATGTATAATATTGTATATGCGGAATATTAAATTATACAAATATTTTAAATTATATTTTAATTATTTATTAAACAATAGATCTATCACGAAGCCTTTTGTTGTGCTAATTATTCGATTATGCGATTCGAATGTTTTATTGTGTGTTCTCAATCCAAATCATATTTAGATCATCGAAAAATCGAACGATAAAACATCACAGGCGAAATATATTTACATGACTCTATATATATATTATAAAAAAAAAAATTATTGTGTGTGATAATTTATAATTTTTATTCTTGTTACTCTCTTTGATTTTTATTTGATGAAATTAATAAATCAAGCGAAATATGTACTTCGAGATTTATCGTTGTGATATATTACTTATGATAATTAATTAATCTTTAATCATATTATATATAATAATTGTATTTAATCGTCGAAAAATAGAACGATAAAGCATATCGCAGGTGAAATATATTTGACTTTATGTATTATAAAAGATATAATTTAACTTGAAGTATACATGATAAAGATATAAAATTGTTTTTTTCACCGCCTACATCTCGATCGATGATAATGCCGCAGTATCTCTTCGAATTCTTATATAATTTAGGATTAATTAATTATCGAACGATCCGAGATAAGAGCCGCACGCTGGACAATAATGTTTCTTCGCCTGGCAACTGTCCATGCAATAAGGACATGGTGCACAAGGCCAGCATCTGGAAAAAGACATCAGATTTAATTTTATCACTTTTAGACGAAAACCTGTTACTACATCTTGAAATCTTACACGAAAAGACAAAGAAGTAGCGCCATCAAATGTGTTTTCATAGTCGCTTCCGTCTCCACACGCGTGGATATGTTAGCATGGCAATGTGGACACACCATAGGTTGTGATTCTGAACCAAAACTTTGGTTCGTTATAATGATACCTGTATTTTTAATCACATTAAATTTTACACGATTATAAATCTCGAATCTTTATTAGGAGCATAGTATAAATATTTTTTATTTTCAATAATTTATAATTAAAATTTCTATTTCTAAATTTCCATTTCTTAAATATTTTATGTTTCATAGACAGAGAGGCAAATTTATCAATAATAAACTTGTAGAGTAATTGCTACACAAATTTTTTCTTATCGATAGATTGGCTACAGATTTGATAAAGAATCTGATATATAATTCTGTTGGCAAAATGCTGGCAGAAAAATTTAGGAAGGTTTAACCGATAAAATATGATGACAGCTTGGTAATAGATTTTACAACAAACATTTGATGCATAATTTATTTTTGCTTCGCCAATTTATTATCTAGTTAGATTCTGTCAATAGAGCACAAGTAGAAAATGACATCGATTGTTCCGCTTAATGCGGACAATCGATGTCATTTTCTACTCGAATTTGCTGACAATTTACTTTTAACATTTTGCTTACTTGGTTGTTGTGGCGGTGGTGGTGGTGGTGGCTGCGGATAAGGGTATGGCATTGACGTATTAAAACCAGGTTGCGGCGGATGCTCCATTTTATCCATTATAATTATCACTATCTAATAGCAAAATATAGAAAGAATTGCAATTTTACATAAGATATTGAAAATTAAAAGGAGTGGATTCTTTTAAATCCACAAAAAAATGGGTACGATGAATCGCTTCCAATTAATTCCAATAAATTTGAGTAAAATTTGTCATTCATATTTGACATTTATTTCTTTGCAATAAACGCTTCTAATTCTTTTTGATTAAAATATGTTTATTAACAAAGACAGTATTGTTTACAGAATGAATTTGTTGGCAAAATCTACTTATACATACGTACACATTTTTGTAATATATATATATATATATATTATATTGTACTTGCGCGCGATCAGGGCATCATTATTAATTTGTGGAAATCCCGTGATATAATCTTTTCCGATATTATTTCGTAATCTCTTTTCCTTGAACATTCTCAAATTAGAGTTCAACGAAATAAATGATTAAGAAAACGGCCGCCAAATAAGAGATATTTGTTAAATTCCCTAATTTTAAGAATATATCTTCGAAGTGTTAACGCGTTTAAATACACCGTTATTAAAGTGCTTCCGTGCTTCAGAATCTCTTTTTTCTTATTAAATCATTATAAAAGAGAAGATAAAATCGAATATATTAAATAATCGTGTTGCGTTTCTGATTTATGAAAAGAGAAATTAATATGCGAGATACCCGATCCGACGCGACATATGGAATGACATATACATGCATATGTATATCACATATACGTGTGTGCGTGTGACTCATATGCTTGTCAATGCCACGTCAATTTTATAACATATACTGATAACAGATTACGTCATCAAGCGATGCGTTTCAAAGAAGTGTTACTATCAATTGAAAAAAAAAACTTCAACATTTTCGTTTTTTAACATCGAAGTCATTGCTCTCTTTTTTGCGGGCATGGCTAATGCATATCGTGTGAAAATAAATTTAAAAAAAACATTATTTTTAATATTTGAATGAGAATAAATATCGTATCTAATTATTACGATTGTTGGAATATTTAGTGAACAGTTTAGGAATATGCGAGCATATATATACACTTTGTATTATAAAAATCTTATCATATTTTTGTTTGTAAAATTTTTGCATCGCAAAATATTTTTTAATCGTAGAACAAGAGAGAAGAAACGCATACACAGGGTACTTTTGAAATAATCGACCTTATCGTCAGTCGGATAAAACAATCATCTCACGTTTAGTAAAAACCGCCATGTTTAGACTCGAGACAAACCGATAAGGAAAACTCAACGCGCTTTGCTTTTTATCAAAGTCAAGCGCAGAATAGTGATACACACGCGCGCGATATCTCAATATTATGTTCTTCTCCTATTTGGATTCTCTCTTCTGTGTCTATTATTTTTTATTTCTAAATTCACGAATTGTTGCATTTTATTACATACATTACATTTTGTTGCTAATCTATCCAAAATTAATAATTCTTTTACACAAATCTACAAATCTGGAATCAATACAGAGACAGCTAATACTTTATTTCATTTTATTTGATATATTTGCCGCTTTTTTAATCGAAACTGATTGAAGGAACAGAATTGCTGTATCTCAAAACTATGTTATAATATGAGTGAAAATTGCTTTGATGAAAAATAGACCTCGATCTTGATGTTTGTTAGAGACTACTTATTTATAAGAAATATATATATATATATATATATATGTTTGTGTGTTATATAATATTGCATATTATAATTGTATAGTTATATATTGGGAACAGAAAAAGAGAATTAAATTTAATTACGAAGTAAACAGAATATTTTTCTTCAACATTGATTAATCATAGTGGATTAACTTTTAGCTATAGGAAATTTTTCGAATAGTTACAATAGAATTTCGTTCCTCGAGATGAGAATTTTTGACAATTTTCATTTGAACACGAACTTTGCGATACAATTCCGTCGGAGACTTCTTTTCTCGTTTGAATTGACGTGATTATTTGATCGCTTGCGAATTTTGAGGGGTTCAATCTCAGTTTATTTGTCACGGTTTATTAATACGTTAACCCACCTGTCACAGGAAAACACTCGTAGAAGAATGCTGATGTCCGTAGACCGTGGACGTGTCCACGGCACGATACTAAAATTGAATTGTCTCTGTGAAATTGGCAGGAGTCTTCGTACATATGGACTCTGAACGCGATGGCGGGATACGCGGGATAGGTGGGAGAATATACTAGCGAATGAGCGAACGAATGCTGACGTTACTAATCAAATGACGTTGACGATTCAAGGAAGATTGCGTTAAGACGACACGAGATAGCGGAATTAACGTGTCACGAATAAATAATTCCACACACACACGCACACATATTCTACAAAAAAAAAAAAAATTTTATTAAAAGTAATGAAGAAAATATCAGAAGAAGATATAGATTTCTACAATTCCAATTGTTTAAAATATAATACGATAAGTTCAGAAAGTTAGATTAGACAATTTTCATTCAAATAGCGAATCGCTTCATATAAACATTATGATTCTGATTTGTAGTTTCATAGAATTTATACGGTGATATTTCTTCCAAAATTAACACGATAAGTAATTTTACTTGCGCGTATAAGCGCTTCGCAATTAGAAATATAGATAAGATTATTATCTGTCTTCTTTATTAAAAGGAAGTAGCCCAAACCGAGAACTGTTAAAGCTTCACGATATAATACATTATAGCAGATAATAAAAGATAATAGCGATAATAAGATAAAATTAAATCATTCCTGAATATCACAATTCTAGAAATTGTTTTTATTTATTTCATTTAATATAATTCTGATTACATTTCCTCGGATAGATTACAATCAATTCCATCGCTTTTGTTAATTTTTAGTATTTATTAACATTTAAACATCCTATAAACATTTAATGCTAATACTTAAGACTATAAACTATAAACATTTAATGCTAATACTTAAGACTTTTTAATAGGAAGGATATATTTAAGAAATATCAAAGAATCTGTTTTTCATCGTATACATATTTTTATTTGCATTCATAATATTCGTTTTTTAAATAACATTATCGTAACAAGATTGTGACGTGTCAGCAATTTGGTCCAGCCGCTTTCATCACGCACGTACTTAAAATTGCACGAGAAACTAGCTTTCTTGTCAAAAAACGATAAAAATATTGACAAATTATAAGAAATTGTCGCAAATTTGAAGCTTCTGATACAATGGCGATTAATCTTTGTGCTCATAAACCACTGTACTCTTTGGTGAATGCGACAACAATCGCCAACAACACAGTAAATACATCGCACAACAACAGTAAAACGTAACAATACAAACAAGATTTTTTTTCAGAATGCAAACAATAACACTTTCCTATTATTAGAAAATCCAATTCGCGCGCGAGAATATCGAATATTCCAATATTATATATAGATATCACTTTTACTATTCGAAACCTTTAAAACCCATGTATACAATTTGCGAATAAGTATATATAAAGTTTGATCGCGATCGCGATTATTTCTAATAATTCAACTCCTTTTTCTTATATATCCGTAATTGTAATTATCTAACTTATTCGAAATTCAATTCCTACAATGAAGGAAAAAGAATCTCGGAATCTGCATTTAGGATTTTTATATTCTGGGAGGTAGGATATGTGATATTTTTTCTTCAAAAAATTCAGTTACAATATAAGCATTATTATGGAGAGAGAAAAAGAAGTTAATAAGCTTTGAAAAAAATCACAGCGTCTTTTCTAATATTTTACAAGATATCTGTGCATTATTTTTCGAGTTAGTATCACACACACAATTCAATTAATAATTAAATTTTGGAAGAGATAAGATTGTGATTACATTTTCGAAAGTGGCAGGTTTTCTCGAAATGTGGGTCAATTATGATTACTTTCTCAAAAACTACAAGAACTTCTACAAATCTCTAAATTTTCATATTTTCAATTCTTTCAAAATAATAAATATGCAAATCTCGATAGTCTTGACATCCTCCGATAAAATTTGATAAAATTTGTCCGTGAAAGATTTATTTCATTTCGAATAAATCTCATTTTTTGCAGATCTCGCCATATGAAAGAGGATGGTCGGGAGGATGTATTTGCAATGAGTTCTTGTCTCGATATAATATAAATACAAATTCATCGTGATTCATCAGTCTTACTTATATCCAAGGAACGATCGAGCTTATTTTTCGACTTTCGTCCGAGCAATCTGCGGAAAGAGGAAGTCCATCTTGAACGAGTGAATCCGTCTCTTCCAGCCGCGCCCTGATCATCGACTTCGTTGCTGTCTAGCGACTCGCTCATGTTTCTGCTCTTGCCGCTGCTAATGTTATTGCCAGCATTGTCAAAGCATCGCGATCTGCGATCCCCCATCTCCGAAGAGAACCTGAATTGATAATGTAAACTAGAAAATGAGAATGTAAACAAGTATTTTTATAATAACATCTCTCATAGAGTTAAACAAACCCTGAATCCGAGGAGAAGGCTCTGACTGTGTGCGGGACACTGGAAGTGGCCGAAGAGAGAGAGGGTTCGGCTATCGGAGTATTCGGATAAGCTTCGTCATCGTAAGCACTATTGCTGCTGCTGGTGCTACTACTGCAACTGCGGCTGTTGGTGCTACCGTTACTACTGCTGTCGACGCTGGAGTCGTCGATGTAACAGATTTCGCGATCGGCCATGGACGACTCGATTCGTGGAACTCGGGACGATGACTGGATCGCGTTGGGTCGTAACCAACTACGAAGATCTTGTAAGGGCGCTTGAAGGCACTGCAAGAGATTTCCACTGCAAACGATAAAGTTATGATTAAATCAAAATATAACACGTTAGTCTTTGACCGTGTCAAATACTGACGTAGTAAAAGTCTCAATCTTTATTTACTTGTCGCGATAATTATTGACGTTGGCGAAGGTGCGTCTGGCATATATGCAAATGGAGCATCGGCGACGATTCCGGCAGGATGTTGCGTGAAACGTCGCCGCGCTCAAGTGGCGCGTAGCGTGCTTCAGTGCGATAGTCTCCCTTGTTAGTGCTGCAACGCCTTCTTCTCGACGGCGTCGTTCGGCTCCTAATTCGTGCTGTTCCACCCTGAGTCTCTGTCGCAACATTTCATTCTGGAAGAAAAAAAACAATCAGAGGATCGATATGGCATATACTATGGTGGATCAAAAAGATTTCCTGTTTTATTACGACTTTTATTTACAATTTATTATAACTTATTATAACTTATGTATAACAAATTGAACTTATTGTGTTAAAATAGAGAAGCTAATGACCATTTTTCGATATAGTCTTTGAGAAGATTGATGCACTTGTCTCATCTTTGCACGAATTTGAAGATTCCCTCTCGGTAAAAATCGGCTCTTTAAACCATTCTTGACATTCTTCTGAACAGCATTCTATATCGCTGCATCATCTAAAAATGTTCTTCTTCTAAGATGTTTCTTTCCTCCAAGATGAACCTTCAAATTCGTGCCAAAGTGGAACAAGTGCGTCGATCTTCTCGATATTGAAGTAGTTATTAGCTTATATTTTATTACACAAGCTCAATTTGTGCAAATTAGTAAATAAAAGTTGTAATAAAATAGGAAACCTTATTTTTTGATCTATCTTAGTATTATATGTTTTAAAAATATGCGAATATGTGCGGATACAAAATCTTATTACAGTAAAAAGAATTTCAAAAATAGAATATGCGCGGAGTTAAAGAAAATAAAGAATTTCTTGAAAATAAATCAATCTTTCTAGATAAAACTATATGCAATATGTGTATTCGAATCAAACATATAAACGAAAAAGTATCCACCTCTCTCTCCAAAGTATCTCTTTCGGCGCGAATGATAGTGGCCTGTCGGATGACGTCTTGGCGCGCTTTGTCGAGATCCCGCCTTGTGATCTCGTTTTCCTCGAGCTGCATCTGCAAACGACGAAAGGCTGACTCTCGTTGTTGCTCCAGTCGATTTTGCGCCGCCACATAGCTATCCTTCTCGGCTTTCGCGCGTTCGATCTCCTCTTCCAATCGGAGACTTCTCTCCAATTGTAGAAAAAGCTCGTCTTCCTTGCCACGAAGTTCCGTCTCGCAACCTTCCAGTCGTCTTTCCAGGTTCCTACGAGTCTCCTCCAGCCTATCTCGCTCAGCCTTTGGAAACAAGATCGTCGAATTTCATTTACATGACTTTTTCATGCGGAGAAAATGTAAACTTTAGTACGCCCGACAAAAAAAACCATATATAAAAAGAATTAAATAGATAAATATATGTAATTATATATCAAATATATATATATATATATATATATATATATATATATATGGTGAATGAAACATCGTCTCTTAGCTTGTGAAGGACTTATTTTTTGTTTTTTAGAAAAAGTGAAATTTAAAGAATTGAGAGAAATTAGCCTACATATAATCATATATAAATTATATAAATAATAAATATTTTTTTTTTACTTGTAGGACATATTTTTTAGGTCATTGGTAATGATACTGACAACTTGTACAAGACAATAGCATGATGTTCAAAATTTCTATCACAATTTTAAAGTTTTTATTTAAATAAGATTTTCCACCTTCGTATATACGGAAAAAAAGATTGTACAGAAAAAAGAAATATTGATATGATTTAAAGTGCCTAAAAAATATTTTTCAAGGTGAGATATTAATCATTCACGCTTTTTCTTAACAATCATTGGCAAACCGCGTCTAGCTCGATTTCGCGCGATCGTTCGATGATGCCGGATGACGTATACCCGGTACTCTCTTTCCTCGCAGGTTCTAGTTTTATCTAATGGCGGCTTCACATTGTAGGTCAACCAGGTAGGCAAACGAGGTTGATGAACGCTAGCTATGGAGTACTGAGAATAGTAGGCTCTTCTGGTGAGTTTTTTTTTTTACAATAACGAAGAACGAGATGCCGGAAATATCGAAGAAAATATGTAGCTGATTATATTAGAGAAATAACACGTGTGCGTGAATTCCATTAATTCTAATTTTACCATCGCAATAGAACAAGATATATATGTATGTATGTATGTATATGTATGTATGTGTACGGAAAAAAGTTTGCTATCGTAGCATTTTATGCTACTGTGTACTAGTTTATTAAACAAAAGAAAAAATTCTATTCTGTCAAGAAAACAAATTTTGCTGTAATATTGAACAATTATATAATAGCAAAATTTGTCACTATTACAACAAATTTGTATATATTTTAATAGCAGCGACGTTTTCGCTGCAAAATTATTTTTTTTCCGTTTATGTATATATATGTGTATATAAATACATATATAGTTTTTTATTAGTTCGCGCACGTATCATTTGATGCGCTATGACTAGCAATTAACTCATACAACCCCGTACAAACTTTAATTGTTATAAAATGAACAAGATGGAAAATAAGATACAGCGGAGAAATATAATCGGAGTATCAATATCATGGCTTATGTTTCAATCCTTTTTTTATGTCACACTTTACTTGTTCCCGTCGAGAAATATTATCTGACAATGAGACAAGCGGCAAAGAGAGCACCGTAGTGTGGAAGAAAAAATGGATAGTACATTGCGACACGATAGTATTATATAATATAATAAATTATTATGTATACGAGCGCACGAATATATTTAGTTATTAGATTTTTTTTTTAAATTTGTCGGAATATTATGAGTTGATAAAATCAAGACGAATCTCTAATCTCTATAAAAACTTTAATCCAAGGATGGCTCGTTTGAGAAAGAATGAGAAAAAGCATCCTAGAATTCACATTCATATTTGTCACATTCCCAATCTTAAACGCGAGAAATCCAAACGACAATGATGATGAAGCGAAAAATATGCTGGAAAACCGGAGGACACGAATCTGAAGACAGGATATGCATGCCATAGGAAAAGTAGGATGACGAGAATAATATCCGTACCTCTTTTTTTCTTTTCTTTTTTCTGGTTATGGTTTATGAACTTCTCGGAATGCACCTCGCATGCCTAAAGATGATTTAAAGCCCGATATGATAGCCGACGTAATTCGCGTATCTCAAAACGCGATAACTTGCAAGAATTAAAAGGAAAAAGTTACTTATAAAAAAGTAAATTTATATACGAATTAATCATTCGATTATTGCATAATAATTAAAATATTGGTAAGAAAATTACAGAATTTTAATTATCATATGTGACTATAGAATTTTTATAATAAATTATTGCATCCAAAATGCAGAAAACTAGTACAAGCGGTACTTGGCCGAATGTCATCTCGAAAGGATTAAGAAAGTTATGGACAAAGCAGATTTACAAGTCTCTCAGCGGCAAGTATCAGAAAATTATTAAGTATTAAGTATTATAGTTACAGTCTCGAAATAATGTTGGTTAAAAATCGCAAGATTATGGACTATCCATTCAGTAGGATTTTTAATTAAAATTTAGCAAATTTCCAAAATTTATAAAAGCCCAAAGTTTACAGGACCGAGCATATTATTATGTATGTTGAGTGAAATTTAAGATTTCAAAAAAGAAATGCATATTTATTAAAAAATTTCATAGATAACAGATCGAGAATTACGTACCTTGCGATACGAAAGACGAAAGTCTTTGTCGCGATTAAAGATAGTGAACGGGTTTTACTCGACCGCTATAATACGTAATTATCTGCGCGACCATCTTACTGAAGAAAAATGCAATGTTTCACGGAAAAATTTCGCCAATAAACCTTCCACTTTTCCCAATTAAAATTCCTGACGATCGGTCAGAAATTTCGGAGTACGTTCTCTCCACACTGGTATTAAAAGTAATTATCCAGTTCAAATTACTTATAAAAGAGATACAAATCGTATAGTTAATAAAATAAAGATCAGTATAGCGAAGGAAATTTCTCGCGGAAAAAACGGATTTCTTTTAGCGATCGCTTCTCTTGTCTTCGCGGCTGTTCTTCCGGTTTCGCGAAACGATTCGCGGGTAATGTTACAAGAAAGGAGACTCGATTTCACTCGCTAACAATCAGCTAGCGAGATAACATCATCGAGCATCGAGAATAATGAGATCGCGGAACAACCAGATGCATTTTGATAATTATCGTCGCAATACAAATCACATTAGAATAATTTTTCTGTAGGATACGATTTATCGTTCATATTTGCAGATTAATTGACACAAAGAACAATTTGACTCCTCTTGGATTTTGTTAGTCGATTTTATAGTTTTATATTGTCTTTTTGCGAACGAAAAAATAGAAAGCATCATTTCTGGATTATGTGACTGTGTGTCTCAAAATCCTTTATTTTTATCGAGATATTAAAAAAGCAAAAGCTTGACCAATGGAATATTTTGTACGGTATTCTGTCCTATTTCCATCAGATTATTAATGGCGAATGTCTCCGCGTTTGGTATTGATTAAATGATTCCATCGTACGGAACTTCACGCGTAGCATTCTTTATTCTAATAAGATCAGGATAATTAGAAATAATAAAGAAGTTAAACGAAAGAAACTTGGCGATAAATTGAAAGAACATTTTTAATTTCCAAGTTAATCTAACACAATAAATAAGAGATGCCAGGAGATGTCACGAGAATTGTTTTTTATTAGCAAAAAAATAGAAATATTATCAACTCCCGAAGTATTAAAATATGAAGAGACCAGTTTCATAGAAAAGAGAAATAAAATTTCAAATAGAAGAAACTTTGTATGTCATATGTATCCGTGAGATATTAAAAATAAAGTTTGAAATGTGTATTAGTTTTACAAAAATGATAACAAAGAGTATTAACGTGAGTAAAACCTTGAGATCCACAAAATTATTTCGACAATAGTGACAAAATGAACCGTGGGAATAGATGCAATGGGTGCCGCTCTAACAATAGTGATGAGCTATTGCCATAGTATGGGAAAGCTTGGCATAATTTTTTTCCGTTGTACGTTACAAAATATAATGAATATAAAAATATGAAGAAGAATGAATGCAATTCTTTACAAATACACGCTTGATATTGATGTAATTAAAGAGAAAATATTAAAGATCAGAGGCCATCAGACTGATGTGTGTGTACGTATGTGCGTGTATGTACACACACAGTTTCATACCTTGATCTCATGATAGCGTTCCTCCAGGTAATAAGTAATATTCTTTGCCTCCTTATACTTTTCGGCGAGATCCACGTACTTGTCATAATGCCGTTTAAACAGGACGTATCTGCGGAAAAAAACGAAATCAAGGTAGTACAATAGATTTCTTATATTTTACAATCATCTATCTAGAGAGAAAGAGAGAGAGAAAGCTCTTTCTCTATTATAGATCATATTATATAATCATTTTTTTTTTCTAAAATTGGATTATCTTGCACCTTTCTTCTATTTCTCACATTTAACGCCATATTAGCCCATATTAGAATAAGAGAAAGTGAGTAAGAAACAGAGAATATATATTTTTATTCCTTTAATTCACGTATATATGCTATTAGAATATGATTGGAGATGGAAAGGAAATCATAGAAAAAAGAAAATAATTGATCTGGATGATATTAGAATAAAGGAAATTGCATCAAAGGCGTTTAGGATCATAAAATCATTTATGAAAAAAACATATAAAAATTAAAAAACATAAAAAAAATTAAAAAACATAAAATTTTGTTTCTTATCGAATTAAATAACATACGCGAACATGCGTGTCTCGTCGCCGTTCATTGTAGCATCGGAAAGTCTACGATAATTCTGCAGTCTGTTCCCAGCCATTGTTCCAATGAGAGAAACGGAACCGGACATGCACACTCGTTTATCTCACTTTGAGTCTTGGAGTTTTGGGTTTTTGCGTTTGAAACCGATTTCACCGCATCAATCGCGCAATGAATCAGACTTCCTCCTCTCGTTCGTTTGCTCACTGGTCCCCGCGAACACAACTTTCGCTTTCATAAGACCGGCTGATTCGTTCTTAATACTGATTCATACGTTTCGCAGCCCGGCAGCGAGTGGCCGGGTCGACCTAGCTTATGCACGATGATACCTTCCAAATGAGAAAGTCACCTGATCCGGAAATACGAAGCTCGAGTCACACGAGGCGCGCGTGATTGTAATCAATAACACAGTTCAATAAAAAAAAAAAAAAAAAAAAAAGAAAAAGACTAACCGATTCTCTTAGTCCTTTTGATGCTGAATACGATCCTATTTTCCAAACTGCTCCATCAAGTCACAATTTTGGGAAATTTGCGATTAAAATTGCAGAAAAGAGCTATTTTAATATATTATAAAATATTACACAGTTATGATATGCGACGTGTTGGAAAAGTTTTATCGCAATAAAAATTAAGTATATTGTTAAGGCTTTCAATTCTGAGAAAGAATTTTTTGTGTCGACGGTTGATAAGAGTTGATAAGGTTGATAAAATATTTATAATTAAATATGGAGTCTATTGCGGAAAAATTGCAAATTAAATCTTTAAAGATCTACCAAATAGTTTTCGATTATATTTATTCAAACTATTTAGTCATAACTTAAATATATGTATATATATGAAAATTTTTGTACTACAAAAATCCAAACAATTTTAAATTTTAATATCTATATTATTTCTGTCATTTTAAGTTTGTCAATTTTAATATCAAATTCGTATTCATCAATTTAAAAGACTACAGGAAAAGATTAATCTTCTTCTTATGTTCGAAAAAAGGTTATTTTTTGTTGAACTATGTAATCGATGACATAAAAAGTTAATATTCTGAGTGCGTTTTTTCTTTAATTCCGTGCTTGACGCGTGTGAAATAAAAAATGCTAAAGGTCGAAGATCCCGAAGTTTTCGGAGATTTTTTATTCGATGCGCATATACATCGTTTATTATTAATATTATTTATATATTGCAACGGATTAATAAATTAACGATCAACAAGATATTTAGAATGTGGAAAAAAAGGACGGATAAAAAATTAATTTTCTGCGATTTAAATAGAAAATAAAAAATAAAAAATTGACATTACTATTTAAGAAATTCGAGATAAATGATTTTATTTCCAGAATAAAAGTTCTATAAAAATATATTGGATGATTTTGTGGGATATTCTTGTATAATTTATATATTAAATATTTTTGGTACGAATACATGTTTCAAGATAATAGGTACCGATAGATATCGAAATAATATTTGATTTATTGAGTGACCGCGACTCGCGGAAGCCACTCCCGATCGCTTAGAAAAGAAATTACGCTTGTTTCGGTCTCTTGATTGCGTAGGTAGATTGAGTAGATGATAATAATGATATTCTTATATAGCATCACAAGGCCAGTTTCGCATCAAGCCATGAGTAATCAGCAAAAATATTTTAACTTCGCATTTCATTTAACATAAGTGTTTTACAAAAGTGCGAGGCTTCAAAAGTAAGAAAGCGTCCATAGTGATAGGCAATTATAATATAATAATGATATACGTATCTGCCAATTTCTGATAATCGATCAACGAGATCGACCTGAATCATTTTCATAAATAAAAAAAACAATATTAATTAATCATTACCATTTAATATGCAACATTTGTCAACAAAATATCTAAGAGATCTATTGTTTTAACATATTAATAAAATACATATGAAATGATAATGTTAGTAAAAGTTAATAACAAAGAATTAATTATTACTTTAAAATTTTACTGCTACTATAAAAACCTGACATCAACACACATACCTAAAAAATTGATAAGATTCACTTTACATACAATATTTAAAATGGATCAATACAAATATATATCTATATAGAAAGTGTCTCATTTCTTTTGCATTACTTTTTAACGACAAATTCCTTAGAATGCAATTTGGTGTTGATCTTTCCTTAATAGTATTTGCAGCTAAATGATAAAATAAATAAAATAACTATTATCTTGTACTGACCTATATAGATCATTCTCGGTAACAATGTCGCGAATGGAGTCCTCCGGGTCGACGGGCAACCCCACTACTCTGGACGGCGAAGGGAGGATACGTCGCGAGGGTCCCGCGACGCCGACGCTAACGCCAGCCTCATCGTAGATATTCGAGTCCCGGAGACCGCTAGCCGCGATCAGGTCATCCTCGGATGTGGCGGTGGGTAAATCGATGTTCGGACTTGGAGACCTGGAGATCGCGCCCAAAAGATCCTCGCTTCTCGAATGGCGCATCTCCCTGGTGCCATATCTGTCAATCCTGCGATGGTCCATCATACGTTTTTTTTCTGTCAGAAGGTGTGGCCCTAAAGAAATTATCGCTATACTCGGCGACTCGGGTACTCCCATCCGGACATTCCCACCGATTGATCAATTGGTTTTGGTTTCCGGTTTCCCGTTTCAGCTGGTTCTTCTTTGTGCGATATAATGTCGTCAAGATTTTTGCAGCGTTTTAATCCGTTAAATTGTGCACTTTAATATTAGATTGATTTGTTTTAGAAAATTCTTGGTGTTTCTTTTTTAACATTCTCGTAATTTTATAATTACAGCCATTCCATGTCAATTCCTTGACAGATATGTCTACGAAGCCAAACTTCGTAATTTCTCCTTGACAAAATTTATTGCAGCAAAGAAATCGATGATATTCTTGCGTGGATCTCTCGCGCACCATCGAAATTTCTCTTCACTTTCTTACATCGATATCGATATTCTACTTTTCTGTCGTCTCTTTTCCATATATGGCGAGTTTCCCCGACAGATATACTTGTTCAGTTTACACTAAATTAACTTCCACTATGCTCACTCCGGAAAACCTTTTTATGTGATATACAAAAAATTACAACCGAAAATATTATTGCCACAAATTCCCATATAAAATTGAATTATGCTTCGTCCCGTATTAATTCGAGTCAAGATATATATGTATATACATACATATATATGCGCTACTCGATATTATATATATAAAAACATTTTTCGCCCAAGAGAAAAAATAAAATATAAATTATATTACATTATACAAAACTATCAATATCTACATTCACATTTTAAAAGCTTATAATATAAAAAAATTCACTTCGGTTTAATCTTACAGCTTGCAAAGAAAACTATCTAAAAAAAACTCTTTGACAAGAATCGCGGATTTCCGAATTAATTTTTAAATGAACAAACTTTTCTTGTGAAAGGAGAAAAGCTTTCTAGACAACTTCTTTTTTTAATTGACATAAAGAAACTGCCTCTCAAAAAACACACAATTACAACCAAATAATCGTAATACGTAAGCGAAAGTACTGTGGACCCAACTTATACCCGTGGGTGGGTGCCGGGGGGCGGGAGGTAGCCCCTTATCATCATCACCAAATCCCATGGGACATGGGTAGGGCAAGCCAAAGCTCGATGGGCGCTACAGAGAGAGAGAAAGAAAGAAAGAAAGAGAGATAGTAACCATCGATCCAATATGGCACGCATAACTGTACTTTCTCTAGATGAACATTTATTATCTTAAGATAAAAGATATAAATTTGTCGAGAGAGCTCCCACACAACACTAAGCCTAAAAGACGATTTAAAGACGGTTTATTATCCTATAGACATCTTTAAGTCTTTTGGCATTTTTATATTGTGTGGGCTTTATCGTTATATTAGGACATTTTTGCAATATGATGCTTATTATATGAGGAACTATATTAAATAATTCGAGTCTACGAAAAATTTTACGCCGATAGAAATGTTCATCTGCAGAAGGTGCAATTATAAAAGCGTGGCTTGCCTGAAGATCGTCGACGTCGCATGGACTTGTATGGGGTACATGTGACGTAGATACATCGAGAAGCGATTTCATCGCGGGAGAGTCTTCGCAGATTTAATACAAAAAAAAAAATAATGCGGAGGTTTAGTATGAATATAGTTCTGTCACACATTTGTAAAGTCAACTTTAACGTCAACACACAAGTTTTTTATTGATATATTGGGGATCCACTCAAGTCAGACTAAGAGGAAAAACTATGAGAATTAAAACACCTATATGCAGAGCACTTAGAAAATTAAACCAGTTAGAAGGTATATTAGAAATTTTTAATATATTTAAAAAATAATTCATATATATATATATATATATATATATATATATATATATATATATATATATATATATATATATATATATATATATATATATATATATATATATATATATATATATATATATATATATATATATATATATATATATATATATATATATATATATATATATATATATATATATATATGAATTATTTTTTAAATATATTAAAAATTTCTAATATACCTTCTAACTGGTTTAATTTTCTAAGTGCTCTGCATATAGGTGTTTTAATTCTCATAGTTTTTCCTCTTAGTCTGACTTGAGTGGATCCCCAATATATCAATTCATTTAGTCTTAAATGAATCTTCTCATGAATACGAGGTAATTTTCTTCTCAATTCGCCATAATTTATCAATCCATATAATTCTTGGGAAGTTTTCTTAACATCTATGTATGAAGTAATATACATTATATAATATATCAAATCATAATATCTCTCACGATTATATATTATATTTTAACAACCTTCTGAGAATTTAAGATGCTTTGATATTTTTAGCCATGTTCTGTAATAGAAATGTCGAATCTGCTCTTTATTCTTTATCATGGTGTCTGAGAGGCCACGCTTTTTGCCTTGATTTAAAAAGTAGCTTTGTAGAGCATCAAAGTCTTTACCATATTCATTGAGCGCTTTAAAAAAAGTGTTTTTATCCTCCATAGACCACAATTCGCATGAACGTTTAAGGGATCTTACTTTAGCCTCTGTTGCTTCCTCATCTTTTACATCTATGTTGAAAAAAAAGAAGAGAATTTATCATTCAGCAACTTTTATGTTATATATTGATGATAATTGATATTTTTGTCATATTATCTATACGCACCCTTTTTCTCAATATTGTTAGTATCACTATTATCGATTTTGAGCTTTTTATTACCTCGGACAATGCGAATCTGTGTATTTTTATTATCTACCAAGAATTTTGTATCTGAATAAGTTTGATTTACTTGAGGACACACAGGAATCGCATTACCAAATTCAGTATCCTCAGATTTTGTAGACTCTTCCATTTTAAGCAATATTTTTTTTATTACAATTTACAAAAAGGACATTCTTATGTTAGTAACATATTCAAATTCAAATTTGATTTTTTGGATGTAGCATTTCAAATCCAACTAATAATTAATATTAGAAGAAAAAGAACATAATAACATATAAATGATAATCAGTCTGGTTTTAATATTTTATATTTTATATAATAGCACTCTTTCTTGATTTATAAGTGAAGGTTCTTCTTTATATACTTTAATTCTCGATAGGATATGGTATATCACACATATGTTTTCTTAAAATTTTTTTCTTTCTTTTTTAATTTAACAGCAGGCAGTAACGAGTTTCGCAATTCTCTGTTTCCTGCTCGCTCGCAGAAAGCATGTTGGTTGTTAATCGCGCTCTTTCCTAATTGCGCCAGAGAGGTAAAATTGTGGAAACCAACAGAATAGCCACTTTTTTAACCTGCTTCTCTCTCCTACCTCCTCCTCGGAAGTAACGGACCTCTCCGCCGCGCCAGGATTCTCCGTTACGTTCGTCGGCGCGTTAAAGCGCCTTCCACTTCCCAAAGCGAATGGACTTTAATACACTCTGACAAACATAAGAATGTTGATTTTACTCGATATTTGAGGCAATAAATATTTTCGATGAATTAAAGTTTTCATACAGCTTTCAAATCCCTGCGTAATCCCTTTTAAATAGCTCGCTGCCATCCGGTATTTTGTTTACGTTAAGCAAGAGCGATAGGGGATTATTGATGACGTCAAATAATACAGGTTTCACACAAAGCAATCTTTTCTTGAAATAATATGTAAAGAAGGATAATACGCACATATCCTTATTACTTCGATATTAATTGAGAAATTCTCTTATTAAAATTTAGTATAATTTTATAAACACACACGGTACGTAAACTTTGTCATTATCTAACGAATATTGTAAACAACAAACGTATATTTTTTTATTTCCCTCGGGAGTAACACTTGGAGAGTCGTCGTGTATATATATTCGCAGGACGATCCTGAATGATTGCTTCTAAACCACTTTGACAGTCATATCAGTCTGAAAGCTCGCGTGTGTCAATGTCCACTCGCGGCGAGTACTTCTTCCAAGAACGCGATGTCGATCGCACGCGAGGATCCTTGGTCCTTGACATCGTCGTCAGACGGCCATTTTCACGGTTTCAGCTCCATGGTTTGCCATTCGAACTGAGCTCTGATCCTCACGGCCGAGATGACACGAATTCTACCTGCCTGCCTACCTACGGACCATGCGCGGCGAGCTATCTTGCTCCGTTTGTACATTCACCTTGCTCCGCTTGTACATACGTCCCATCGATCGCGTGGGCACTCGTCTAGATGTAACGCCGGTCGGGCAAGCGACTGTCGGGCACTCCGGTCTGCGAGTGCCGGAGAGATGGATCTTTTTCGCATTCGCGCTGTCTAGGCCGTCTATAGTCTCTTTCACGCTGAAAGGGGAATCCAGAGGGAAGGGACGTTTGCATACTAGTTTTTATACTGTTCTTGATTGTTTCGCTCTGCGAAGTAGTTGAATACCCGGAGATACCCCGCGATTCAAAAGTAACACAGGTCGACTTGCTTTGGATAATGGGCAATCTTGTATCATACCGAAGGATGCAATTCGAATATTCTTTTTCGAGTTTAAATAACAATATTCTGGAATTCGTATATATACGAATTTTATTTATACCGCAAATCTATAACAAATTATTTCAATTTCATATTTTGATTTAGAATTTAGATAAAAGATCATATAAAAATTTTCTGAATGGTACTTAGTATATGTTTGAATTTACATATTTATCACTCATGTGTATAGTCATTTCGTTTTATATTATATTCGTCATATTATCATAGTTGTTATATTTACACATTGTTATAATCGAAATCAAGAAGTAATTATTAATATACACGGATTGACATATAATAGGTACCTGGAATAGCTCACTCTCGTATTGCGATTTCTATTGACAATTCTTATCGCCAAGATCGGCGGTTTCTTCTTAGAAAAAGGAACTGATGTGATATAACAGCAGCAGAATAGCGATCACTTATCTATTCTCTTACGTATTTACAATATTGTAGAGATGTACAAATATTTAGGTATTTACAACATACTAATATGCTATGTAGTGTAGTTCGGTTTAAAAATCGTGATCATCCTAATAGTATTATATATCCCATATCTATACAAAAATTAAATACATACATAAATAAATACCCACCTTTATTTTAGTACTAGAATCATACTGAAAACAAGAACGGAATATTTATTTTTGTAGAAAATATTCTTAAACTATCTATTTCTTATTTTCATCAGAAGCTATCTGTGAAGCCAGATTTGCAAATTTTGCCATATAGTCTACACTATTTTCTCCCATAAGGCATTGCATATGTGATACAACCTAAAATATCTTTTTTATAAACATTAAACCGTAAATAATTAATTTCTCACTACTGCAGAGAAATGATTCCTCTAGAATCTCCGTGTTAGTTACTGTTTTGTTTTTCTTGTCTCTCTCACCATTCGCAATCTCTCGAATCTATAAATATCGTTAATATCTCGTTGAGTTTATGATTTGATAACAATGTATGGTGAGAGTAGCAATAATGACGATGATGATACAATTTATCCGCTCTACGAACATCTCTAACATTGCTTCGATCATTAACAGATATATCGAGATCTTCCGAAGCAGCTTGTCCGAGGTACGCGCGAGTATCGGGCCGAAAATGCGCGGCGGTCCTATGGGCGGCTTCAATCAAAGGCCCGCGCCGTACACTCGCGGTGATCGCTTCGGCGGGATGAATCGCTTCAGCAACAATGGCAGAGGATCCAGAAATAGAGGTGATTCCTTACATCATCTATCGAAGTATGGAGACTATCGCGCAGGAGAAAACCGTAATAGAGAATTATTATACAATACACGTACAAATTCATTACGTATGTATTTATATTTCTATATATAATATCTACTTTTTAGATCCTACAATATACTTTATCCATTTTTTTGCTATGGATTTTACAATTTTATTTTAGACTTTGATAGCGGCCCATGGGGAAGTGGAAACAATTACGGATCTCGCGGCGGCAATATGGGGATGCGCGGCGGTATGGACATGAAGGGCAATAATTACAGAGGCAATAATGATTCTTGGGGCGGTAATTCCGGTGTTCACAGTATTCATATGCGAGGACTGCCATTCAAGGCGACAGAACAAGACATAGCTGATGTAAGCTTCCTCCCTCTGTAATAAATAATAACGATATAAAGCTCTGTACTTAAAAGAGGCTTTCTTTGCCTCAACATAATAATATATTCTGAATATTATTTTACAGTTCTTCAGACCAATCGAACCGGTGAACGTCCGCATTATTCTTGAGAATGGCGGTCGTCCATCGGGAGAAGCTGATGTGGAATTCGCGACTCACGAAGAAGCCGTAAAAGCAATGTGCAAGGTTCGTATAGTTGTCTTTTTTTTTTTTTTTCCCTAAAGTTTCATTTTGAATCCGTTTAAATAAAACGATTTCCAAAAAATATCGTGGAAAACCCGTTGGCATAGTTCGTATATATAAAGCGAATCTTATTTTAATTTCTCCATGTTTTATTGTAGGATAAAAGCCATATGTCGCATAGATACATTGAATTGTTCCTGAACTCAACCGGCGGATCAAGTGGCATGTCACTAAGTGGCATTGGCAATTTCTGCGGAGGTAAGATTCCTAATTACTATCAAAAATGTTTGAAACAGAAGTCTTACTTCTCTCTTTAATCTGTTTTATAAATGATGTACTATATTGTTACTGTTAAATACAGAGATGATATTTTTATTACGCAATTCTTAAATCATTTTGTGATATTTGATAGATCTAGAAGATTAGATTAATCACAGTCAATTATTACTTCACAATCTTCACTTATCTGTTCTTAAGATTCCCGAACCTTGAAGAAACAAGGAATATCTTTAATATCTTGATGTATACATATATGTATATATCGTATCGTTTGTACACAGGTTTAGGTAACAACTTCAGGCCAGGATATTCACCAAACAACAGAGGCTTCAACTCGCAATTGGGCGGTAACAATTACAATAGTTTTTGAGACTGGGCGATGCGTTTTTAACGCTAAACAAACGACGATTATGAACATTTAAAGAATCAAAGTGATCATTGGTGAAATGACACATTTAAATCACACTGATGCAATACGCGATTGATTGCGTATACACGATACGCGATTAATTTTTTCCTTTTTCCCTATAGTCCTCAATTCACAATTATACATTAGATAATGACTGTAAGCCAAATCGATAATGTGTAAGTACTTGCTTATTCTTTATATATATAGATAATAGATTATTATATAAATTTAACATAAAACATGTGATTTAATTACCAAGTGAATGTAGAAATGGAAATGTGGAAATATTTTTTTATCACAATAGTTGTTTTCATTTCCAGTTACATGTATATTCATTTGAACCGGACGTAATGTTAAAATCGTACGTCGTTGAAATACATAAAACGTTCATTAAAGAATTGCAAAAGAGTTGTTTTTAGTTTAGCAATATTAGATTAAATGCGTGAAAAAAATATTTCTTTTCCATGCAATATCTATTCTAATTTAATGTTAAATGATTAGATAATTTCTCATATGTATGCTTTACATTATAATAATTTTGATGCAAGCTTAGACGTGATATTTGTATGCGTCGAGACGAAGCGACGAGTTGCAAAAAATGTACGATTGTAATATACAGAACTAATAGTTTGCAATCACACTTCGGCAACTTTATTATCTTATATATTGTGCAGGATACAAAGTCAGAACACTCACACACTCATCTTTTGTCATAATGCGATAATGTATTATATGAGGTATTGTAATTTTTGAGTAAGAATTATTATAGTTTTGTTATTAAGTGCACAAGGAGATATCAGCTATCAATGTGTACATCTCTTAAAGTATAAGTCTAGCTTCGGTTTGTATTCTCTTGAGATATTTGAATATAAAAAAAATGAAAAACAATAGAGAAAATGGGTAAAATTAATTAAAATTCCTTAGAATAAAACAACACAAATGTAAATGAGTTAGACATATTTTATGTTATGTTGGATGCTCAAAGTTTTGGAAAAATCAACACTTACATGTTGAATCTGAGAAAACTGTTAGCTCTCGTGATTTCAGATCATATTGTGCCTTGAAATCATATGTGTAATAATCGCATACCACATTATCTGCCTTTGACTAAAGATTCTAACTTATTTATATGTGTGTTGTTACATTCTCTTGGTCTCCTATGTGTAATATTCTTATTTTTAAAATTAAATTTTTTTTCTAGATTATATTTTTCAGGAATCATCTAATAAAAAATATTTACTTGTGAATCTTGCAATTGTAAAACTGCCCATTGTAAAATTAATCTCTACAAGTATAATTATATATTTAGACTTTATTTATTCAAGAAGATTCACTTTAGATTTTCAACTTTATATAATCGTTATATCTTATGATTTGTGTAAATAACTCAGCAGCCTAATCGTCTAACGATCTTTTAACGGACACCCTATATACAGTCGGACCGACGCATCTATACATAAGTATCGTTTATAGATTCTTTATAATGCCTAATGACGCTTCATTGAGTAAACGATGCACGCATAGTTCATCGTACTCTTAAACAAAAGTTCCCGGAGCGAGGAAGGACCAAGAATTATCTGTCGGAGAACGAAGTTCATATCCTTGACTATGTCCGCCCATGCTTGTTCGGAAGCGAACGGCAGCCTGAATAAAAGATTGTTCTGTGCTTAGAATTCTTGATGTTTACGAGCGCATTGACCTCAACCTCAATCCACCTTTATAACTACAGATTGAATCGAAGAAACTGCAATTTTTGGCTGCTGAATTTTGTTTTCGATACTGCAAGTAAGGTAAAAATACATGTTCAATTGCGGATAAAAAAAAAGAAAAAATTATATTTAAGACTTATTTTATAAGATTTATGTTATCGAGATTGGAATTTCAGCTGTAGAGGATGATGTCAGCTTGAACACCGTCCTTGTTACACGCTGCCATAGGCTGCTCTGTTTAACAGGTGTCCTATGTTTGTGTATGTTTGATTCGAACGACACGAGCGTCGTTCTATCTTTGTTATTTACTAAAAGTTGGACAAAAATAGAATGACGTGTGCATCGTGTGTATGCTCGTGTGCTCACGGGTGATGTTTCCGAACGTACCGTAATATGTGTGTGTGTTGTATTCTCTATTCAGCAAATATACATCTAGATTTCTAATTTTCAATATTTATTTATATTCTCTTTTTGTCTTTTCTTCGAAAAAGCATAGACATATAAAATACATAGACGAATATATTCTGCTTTTAGGTAGTGAAAGTCAACAATGTTGGGGAATTTCTCGGCTCGGAACTAGCCACCAATCACAAGTATATGACCACTGATTGAGGTAACAGTTTCTGCACATGCGTCAGAACCAGCATATGTGAAGGAAAAATAATAAGAAAAATAATTAGAAATATAATTGTTTTTTTAGAAAAAGTAAAATTTATAAAAGTGAGAAAAAATTTATATATTTATATATAAATGTATATATATATATATATATAATCATGGCTGCGGTCGGAAAGACGCTAGAAATGCTTCGAAGCATTTGATTGACCAATCAGGACAGTGTCCTATGTTTGTGTATGTTTGATTCGAACGACACGAGCGTCGTTCTATCTTTGTTATTTACTAAAAGTTGGACAAAAATAGAATGACGTGTGCATCGTGTGTATGCTCGTGTGCTCACGGGTGATGTTTCCGAACGTACCGTAATATGTGTGTGTGTTGTATTCTCTGCCGGTCGCGCGCGGGGACGAGAATTCAAAAAATATACGCACCTTATTAATGATGTCGGGAGATTAAGTGATTTAAGTGCCGCTCTTATCGATATCACGCCGATCCACTCTCGGCGATTACTTCTCGTCACGAGAGTTATATATTCGCTGGCTAGCAGCGAGGTGAGTAACAGCGGCATAATAGACGAAACCATATCGGGCAATTTTTATTTTTGACGTATTTTATGCCGAAATATCGAATGTATGTAGATTGGAATATATTATCTTCGATTATATCGCATATATGATGTATATGAAAAATTTTCGCGTTTTAACATTTCCAGAAATGGGAAGATTGTAGCACCGGTTGTACATACATGTAGCACTATCTTTATGTGTGATTCTGTTTTATCACGATACGCTTCCTCGTGACGATTATAGGTCCTTATCTCTTAGCTCCTCGGTTTATTATGGCGTGAAATGCAATTTTCAGATTCCTTGAGTATCATTTATTATATTTTTGTTTAGAACAAAGATACAATCCTGTGCAAAGATGACTGAAACGACAGAAGGCAACAATGGCAAAGACAAGCAGACTGAAAGTAATACACAGCACAATTATAACGAAAGGTATGGAATCATCTGTATATATAACATGAGTTATGTAAAAAATCTTTTGCTTTCCTCGAGAGAAAAAGAATTGATGAAAAATATTTGCATTTAATCATCTGAAGTAATGCTATAAGGAGAAAAATTTTCTTTAATTCTTATTTTTGATTCTCTATTATATTCTCTATTATATTTTGATTCTCTATCATAGATCTTCGGAGCCTGACAGGCAACAGCAGCAATCTCTACTACCAAAAGCGAGCAGTAGTACAGCCAGACAAGTTAGGGAATATATCCCAAGATCTGGGATGAAAAAGTATAACCACGCTTTGAGTAATTTAATACCAGTGCGATATCAAAATCAGTATGTATTACAGTAAATTCTTTAATCTTAAAATTAAAATAATATCTTTTCATATTAGCATTTAAAATATATGTTAATAATATTAAAAAATGTATACACATTATATATTAATGGAAAATATAATGAAATTATATCTCAGAGTTATAACAATACATTTTTATCATTATTTATATCATTATTTATAATTATATCTCAGTTATAAAAATACATTTTATAGGAAAAAAGAGAATTGGCCAGCTGATAATGCTGGATTATTTTCATACGTCTATATAACGTGGATGACACCATATTTTTGGAAAGCTTACAAGAAAGGACTTACGATTAAGGACTTGCCAGATATTTCCTTATATGATACCTGCGAGTACAATGCGCTCAGGTAAACTATGATATTGTGTCTTCTTGATATTGTTACAATATATAAAGATTTATCCCTTCAGATTTGATATACTCTGGCAACAGGAGTTAAGTAAAAATGGTCCCAATGCAGCCTCTTTTTTCATGGTTGCATGGAGATTTGCTCGCACAAGAATTTGCATATCGTGCTTTTTATTGAGCTGTTCTCTTATGTTTGGATTTATAAGTCCTGTAAGATTATTTTTATCAATGACACAAATCACTATTAAATTATATCACTTGCATTATAATGCAGGATCTTCTCTTACGTAGACAATATTAATGAGAAAGATACTGGAGCATGTAGAATCTTCGGACGAAGGTTTCTGGGATGGTTTTAAATGGGTTCTGCTACTAATGCTATGTGATTCTCTGCGCGCTTTCTTTTTTACCTGGACATGGAATATGAACTACAAAACTGGATTACGACTAAAGTCAGCTTGCGTGGCTTTGTTGTACAAGAAGATTATCAGATTAAACAGCCTTGGCAATAGAAGTACAGGAGAAGTGAGATATTAAACTTGTTTTGCAAAACTTACGATACTAAAGAAGCATCTGTACGCGGTACATTCGCGATTTATTTTTAGGTAATCAATTTATTTTGTAATGACAGTCAAAGGCTCTTTGACGTGATTATTTATGGACCAATGATTATCAGCGGACCAATAGTCCTAAGTTGCAGTATATTTTATATATTGTGGCTGTTCAATCCCATCGCTCTGATAGGAATAGTAGTTTTCCTTTCGTTCTACCCGTGTCAGGTAAACGACTTGTCGTATACGCATTTTGTGTGCATTTACACACAAACGTGATGTCATTAATAATCAGGCAAACGTGACATCATTAATAATTTGTAGTACTTTATTTCCCGCGCGACTGGTTATTTTCGCTCAAAATCAGTAAACATTACGGATGCTCGAGTGCGACTTATGAGCGAGATCTTGGAATGTATAAAATTGATTAAGATGTATTCTTGGGAGAAATACTTTAGCCAGAAACTTCTCGGTGAGAATAATACACTTCTACATTCTAATTTTCCATATAAATATTGTTTAATTAAAAAAAAATATATAAATATGTGATACAACCTAAAATATTATTATAAAACAGCAAATTATAATAGAAGATATAGAATAAGATAAAATATATTTAATTAATTAACTTGATATAATTTTATACATATTTATATTTACATCAGAGGAAGGCCGAGTGTCCTCCATGATCTGTTCACCTGCTTGACTTCTCTGCGAGCCTTTCATAGGTGATTCAAGTTGTCCTAAAAAGCTGCTCAATGAAAAATCTGCAACCTGCGATTCAATTGTTTCAATGGCATTAATTATTCGTACAAAAAATGTATTATGTTTATATATTGTGTGATTTATTAATTACCTCACTATTTAACCATTGATGTTCGCCCTCCTTAAGAATTTGAGTAGCGCTAGTAATAATTGAATTGGAATTCTTCGCATCTGCGTTTGTTTCTAGAGCATCTAAAAAGCTTTTATCCTGAACTTCGCTCGCGTTTACCGCTACTATTTTATCAGTTTGAGTTTGACATAAAGAAGATCCACCGATCTTACTTGCATCAGTTGTTAAACTTTCCGACGGCATATTTGGCGCGGATACAATGGGTAGTACCCTTTGTATAACGAGACTCTTTTGTCTCACTGTTCTACCTCGTTTACAAAAACGTGTTTTAAATTTCTGTAACATGTATAAGTATGTATTTAAAATCAATTACTTTCTTTTGCTATGTAAGATTCTAATCAGAAACATTTTATATAGGATAATTCATATGGGCACGCGCGTACACATATAATTTTTACATGCAATTACACTATTGCATTTAATATAATAAGTTACATCAAGTTGCGTTTTAAATGCGTCAGCTGTGCCAATTTTATTATATGTTTGCGGGATAAGCGGTCTTCTAAATGTAGATTCCTTAATAGACGGTACTCGAGATGAGATCACTGTTTCATTACTTCCTGTTGTGTTATCATATACCTAAAAAGTATTTCTTAATAATTAAAAATTGATGCCTTAATATTCCATGAAAGTAACGCTTTATATTTTGTACATCATAAGACTAATAAAATATTTGATATATCTTACTTTGTTTGTACCATAATTATGTTTTGCCAGTGACAATAACTTTTGTAAAACTGAACATAAACTATCGTCACGCATGATACTAGATGAATCAGTAGCATATTGTTCATTAGGTAGCCAATCCCACCAATATTCCAGAGTAACTTTTGATTCACGACCAAACTGTTAAATTTAGAAAATTGGAAGACATATTTTTAAGAATAATATATAAATGTAAAATTAAATTAAAAATTTTATTATTTAATTTTTAATAATAAATATAAAATATTGTGTATGTGTACGCACCATTAAAAAGAGATCACCTACAGTGATTGTATTTGCTTCTTCAACATTCCAACCTTTCCGAATTCTTTCAATAGTTTCTCTACCAGGGAATTTGTTAGATTCTGAATGATTTTCTGCCGATGGTTTTTCTGTAGTGTTTATAATCGCTGGTTTTTCAGATATATTGCTTCCTGTTTCTAATAAGTCCATATCGCTACTGTTATCTGGCAGTGTGCAATTTTCATCAGTGCGGTTTAAGAGCTTTTTATCCGATTTATATCGTTTAATTCCCTTTTTCCCTACTCCTTTTAAATATTGAACAGATCCTAATAAATCCACTCTCGAGCTCTTAAGACCAAGACGTTTTTCATACGAATTCAAGCTGACACTATTACTAGTGAGATATACGCAAGAAGGAAGAACGTTGGCTTCACAAGACTGCATATTTTCAAAGCCTAAGCATCTCTCTAACACCCGCTGTACCCGTGATATCCGCGATCATTACATTTTTAGCACACGTTGCCTCCGGCAGTGGATTAACGGCCGCACAGGTATAAAGTACAATCTGTCGATATAATTTTGATAACATTTTTCAACGTTTTATATTGTTTTTATCAATACTCTAATTTCATGTGTGTCAGGAAAAATCGAATTACGTCCAATAGGTAAGAAAATCTAATGAGACGGTAAATTTTTCGAAGAAAATTGACTGGTGTTTTTCACCAATTTTTATAGATGTTTGCAATCTTTTAATTAGATAGTGTCTTTCCCTGGATTGTACAACCAATGTTGCACTTAATGGATCATACATTCCAGGCTTTCCCAATGACCACATTATTCGGAAATTTGCTTAGACTGGCACTTACATCACTTAAGGATACCACGCGATATTATATCAACGCCGTCATAGCTCTTAGAAGATTCAAGGTCTCCAGTGTTTTTCGATTGATTTCATGTACAGCTTAATGGATTTGTATCTATTATTAGGAAATCGGTACTCGTGCTTGACATATATAGTTTTCCATAAATTGTTATCACTTAATTTTCACCAAAATTATATTGTAATATATATATAAATGTATCTGATCGCTGCGACAAAATTTTCATAGAATTAAATCTTTACGAAAATATTGGCCAGCAAAGAATCTCTGATTGGTCGAGCGTTCTGGTTACCCTAGGCACTGAACGATATAAGCGGTTGTGTTCAATCGTACATACTGCGTCTACATTAGAGCGTCTACCATTTTGTTACGATTTTAATCGAGTCGCGCTTGAACTCCTCTGTTTGCGCACCATTTTGCCTGATCTTGCGGCTTGCACGTTTTCGGAGTGTTTAGGAGCTAATTTTGACGCTGATTGCAGATATCCCAGGTACATTTCGTTTGTTGTAACAAATAAGATTGAATTTGAGAGCGAAAATACAAAGCAATATCACCAGAGTCTCTGCGATTACGATAAATTAACTTGATATCGCGTATCCCGAATGCCAATACCGCGTTCCATGACTGCGAATGTTTCCTATAGTGTTTGCGAGAAACGCTCTTTTCACTGATTTTCTAGTCCATTGTAACACAAAATTCATAATTTTCTCAATGAAAATCGCAACGATTTGACGATTTCGCTTTGGAGTAATTGAACGTGAACATGTGGAGGCATGTGGTTTATCGGACGTTCTATCTGCGACCCAAAATTGCCGATCTATTTTCATTTTTTTATTATTTTGCTTCTCCGTCAATGTTTACAAGTATTTACAGATCAAGCCAAGAGAAGTGCGTGCGGAAATTTTTTCTTCGTCGATATTTCGATGTTTCTCTCTTTTGTTACATTCGCAATTGGTGTATGTTTCTTGTAACATAAGAACATCGTTTCCAAAATGTCGACGTATATAAACGTAGGATATTAAATATTTTGGAAACCTGATCAAGATATTTTGAAAACCTGATCATTACAAAATTAGTATCTTGTATGCTCGAGTTATCTTATCTTTGTGCTGTTGTAGTTTTCTTCGTTATCTTCATTCTATTATGTTGTTATACTAGATAAAATAATCACAAAATAGATAATATATTAAGTTGATACTTTACATTTGCATTTTTACAGGTACTGTTTAGAATAAAATTGCATTAGAATCATGTCGAGTGGCAGTGGGGATCACGAGGATGAAGGATATGTTGTTAAAATGCGTGGATTGCCATGGTCCACTACTGTGGATGAAATCATGAAGTTTTTTGGCGACTGTTCCATTTCTAATGGCAAGAATGGTGTTCATATGACTATGTCTCGTGAGGGACGTCCCAGTGGCGAGGCTTATGTAGAAATGGATACTCCGGAAGATATTGAGAAGGCTTGCAAAAGAGACAGGGACCATATGGGCCATCGTTATATTGAAGGTTAATTTTTTATATATAAATTCTTTCAATATATATATTTACAACTGAAGAACTTTTTCGCAAATAATTTATCTTTTTTTATATAGTTTAATTTTAACATGAATATCTAAATATCTTATTTTTTCATTCGCAAACTTTATAATAATTCCATTATTATTGCTGTTTCAGTTTTTAAAGCAAAACGCGGAGAGATGGAATGGGTCGTGAAGAGGAGCGGCCTTAACTTGGAAAATGCAATGGATGATGGTTGCGTGAGATTACGTGGCCTGCCATTTGGTTGTTCGAAAGAAGAAATTGCACAATTCTTCTCAGGTATTTGGCAAAAAATAAAGTATCCAGTGTCAATGCTTATCAATTGATTAATGAATATCATCGATATTTTTATTAATTTTTGAGACAGACATCCATTCTCTTTTACAAGTATGTAGCTTTCTTTCTGTTTTTGTAGTCGCTCTTTTCATATATACGAAAATATATAGATACGAAATTTGAGGATTATCTCGGGAACGCAGCGACAGAATACTTTCGATGGTTTTGACACGAAATTATTATTTTGCATCTATGTATCTCTGCAAGCTATAAAAATTGCTTCACCTAACAATATCACAACTTTATCATAAAATTGTCTATTAAAATTAATGGATCTCACAAGATAATGCATATAACATACATTAAACTCCATCTAGAGCGACGTCTCTGTGTTCCGGTATCGATGCCTCAGTTAAGATTTAAGATTCTGCTAAGAGCTGAGTTGTGCTATGGATTATTTTATTATGATTTGTACAAACGGAACAAAAATATTTTTGTGCACGCGACTCGGTGATCGAGCTTAATTCTTAACTCTGGTTTTTCGGACGCGAGAAATTTATCATTTTGTCTATACAAGGAGAAACACGAAGAGAAAAAAAAAGAAAGTAAAAAATAAGAGAAAAATATGCGCGTATTTAACGCGATTTGAGAGTTTTAACAATGTCGCTTTTTTTTCTTTTTTTTTTTTTTTATAAGGGTTTTAATAAACCTGACCATAACTTCTCTTTTTCCTTAATGGGTACCTATAAGCTACAATGTCGATGTTTGATTATGTGTGGGTCAGGGTTGGAGATATTGCCGAACGGGATTTCACTACCGACAGACTACACGGGCCGCAGTACTGGGGAGGCTTACGTTCAATTTGTTAACAAAGATGTTGCGGAGCGCGCTCTGCAGAAACACAAGGAAAAGATAGGACACAGGTGGGGCACTGAGACGCTATAGCTGGGTTTGGGTATACTTATGACTTTTCCATATCATTTATATTAATGATTGTAGTATACTTAGCTATATACATTTCATTTAATAAATAGCGGGAACAAATTTTACAATACGGATGCAGTTTCTTTAACCGAGATATTCTCCAAGATTTACCATCGGTAAGGCAATTTTACATCCTTCTTGTGGAGCAATTCGTAATAAACGAATATCTTTTACATCATTAGCAACGAGATTTTCTATAGTGGAACACTGTAATAAGTAATATATTTAAGGATGAATACATTAGTACAAAATACAAGATGGCTATTTGAAAATAAATAATAATTCTACATTATAATTAAAAGTATATTATAATTGAATAAAATAAGCATACTGTAGTATATTTTGCGAGTCGCCATCGTTGTTGCAAAAATATCAATAAACTTGAAAGGCGTCTTTGTATTGGGAGCAGTGTACGCACTCTGGGATTCATCGATGCTGCTTGTATAATATATATATAAATGTATCTGATCGCTGCGACAAAATTTTCATAGAATTAAATCTTTACGAAAATATTGGCCAGCAAAGAAACACACTATGAGTATTGTTTCTATAATAATAGATACACGAGGTAAATGTTGTTTTAATGTGTAGAAAAAGCAAACGCTTTCGAGAGCTCATAAAATGAGAGTAAACGCGATGGGCGAACACTGCATGCCTTGTAAAGTACCCTGTTACACTTGAATAGCTGCCATTCTTTTGAGTTCCACGCTGAATACTCGAATGATCAGCTATCAATAATATTGAGTTGGGGGTGCATGGGATGTTAAAACGTTCCTATGCTTATGCATAGTACAATCGTACTAACATAGTCGTTTTTAATTCTACACTACATTACTTTTCAGGTATTTCCCTTTGTATCGGTGCTCAATGCTCAAATTCGTACTTCTTTCATGTTTTTGCAAGTGGCCTTAGTTAATATCGCTGCGGTAAAGATAACTTTTGGCAGAATAAAGGTTTTTATCTCCTTACATCTATATCTAGTAGAAATGCACAATTGATAACAGTAGTATACATAAGTCTTCATCATAATATTTGAGAATAATTAACGTTTTCATCATTTGTAATCTAATTGGCTTTTGTTTTGCTAACGCATGCTTACCTTACAATATCCAACATTTATGTTATGAGGTAGTTTTGCTTTGCTTTTGTAATTATGCAGATTGTATTTGTAATTATGCAGATAATGTACAGTTACGAAAGAGTTTAAAAAGCAAGCACATCACTGTATAATATGTATACACTGTATATAATTTATATCTGACTTTAGAAATTAATCTATACATTCCATACTCTTTGAATGTATGCTGTACCTCTATTCTATTTCTCTATCAAGTTAAATTTTAACGTATCAATATCTTTCGCTTTTTAATATTGCTTTTACGATCGTTTTACATTTTTTTCAATAATCTGTCGAATAGGATTTCGACAGATTATCAGAATAGAACTTGACTAACGAAACGATCTTTGCACAGAGCGTGCTGCTGATAGACGAGGGCAGTTGCCAGGCGTCGAAACCGATAGTGAGATCGCAAGCAGTTGCAATCGCCAACGGTACTTTCGTTTGCGATAGCATGAAGCTTCAAACGGACGCGTCAATCGATAGTAAGAAAAAGTAAATATCCGTTATAATAATCATAATAATCTCTACACTAAGGACTGCGATAATCTTTTACATTTTGATTGATTTAGGAACAACATGTCATCATTAATCACGAATAATTCGACGGAACTGGAAAATCTGAATCAACCGCAGGAAGCCAAGTACGTCGAGGTTCTCGGTGACATACATTTTGGAGCGCCCAAGGGAAAACTGGTCGGTATCTGCGGCCACGTAGGCAGTGGTAAGTCCAGTCTGCTGCTGGCGGCTCTAGGACAGTTGAGAATGACAAAAGGACATATTCTGCGGGAGGGCACTTGCGCCTATGTTAGCCAACAGGCGTGGATCGTAAACGGCACTTTCAAGGAGAACATCTTGTTTGGCGAGGAGTTCGATGCCAAGCGTTACTATCACACGATCACGATCTGCAATCTAAAGGAAGATCTGAACATGTTGCCCGGCGGAGATGACACCGAGATCGGTGAGAGGGGTGTCAACCTGTCCGGGGGACAAAAGCAGAGAGTCGCGCTCGCGCGAGCGTATTACGCCAATCGGTGCGCAAGATCGGTTTGTTATTTCCGAAAAATACACATCGATTATATTGTATTGATAAGTTTGACGAATGCCTTGCGACGAATATTTGTCATTTCAGGGACATTTATTTCCTCGATGATCCCTTGAGCGCGGTTGATGCGTACATCGGCTTGTACATATTCGAGAAATTGATCATCGAGGCTCTTAGGAATAAATCTGTCCTTTTTGTGACGCATAACATTCAGGTGGATATTTAATTAAATCAAAGACATTTATTAATGAGTTATGAGAAGCATTTTTTCATATTTTTTTATCGTTTCCTACAAAGTGAATAAATTTAAAGAAAATTAACATTTGTCAAAATTTCGAAACGTTCCAAGTTTTTTGTTCATTGTAGTTTTTGAAGCGTTGCGACGAGATTTACATGATGAACGCCGGCAAGATCGTAGAACATGGAACCCACGAAGATCTCATGCGACTCGATAAAGAGTATGCATCGATGGTGAAGAGCGGCACAGTTGCCGCGGAAGATAATTTGTCATCGTACGTTTATTATTTTCTATGAATTATTAGACAGCATAATAGACCTTCAAGTAAAGTAATTTAATAAGTCTATTTCGTTATATAGTGGAAAGTTTGCGGGAGTGACGCAGAAAAACATTATCGGTATCGGCGGCTCAGAATCGGAAAAGACAGAGTCTGGACATAAAGAAAATGATCGGGAAAAGTCATACAAAGGTGCGCGCGAATAGTTTTATAATATAAACTTCTGATTTATAAATAATTTCCCTAATACTGTTCTCCGTTTAAATTTAGGAACAACTTTAACAGTGGCGGAAAAAACCGAAACCGGAGCTGTTAAGTCGCACACTTATCATACGTACATAGAAGCCACGGGTGGTTATTTGATCGCGGTTCTTGTATTTTTTACGTTCTTCTTGAACGTAGGTAGCTCAGCATTCAGTACTTGGTGGCTCGCTGTATGGATTAATGCTGGCGGAGGCGTGAGTAACATATATTATATCCGACATTTAAGATTTACACATTTTAAAATATCTGCATCTCTTTGACTAAGAAATATTTTAAATATTTAAATAATAAATATTCCTTATATACAGGGTGTCCCCAATTTAAATGTCAAAACTTTAGGAGTTAAAAATTGTAGAACATGGAATTAAGAAAAGAGAGTGAGTTAAAGTCTTCCTGAGGTAAAATTAGATTAGAAACAAAATTTCGCGTTGTCGCGTATTTATCTACAATCCTCTAATTTTACCTCAGGAGGATTTTAACTCACTCTCTTTTCTTAATTTCATGTTCTACAATTTTTATTTTATAATACTTCTTGATAATAATGTTAATTTTACGAATGTTTTAAGTTTTTTGGTGAAAATTATTTGTTTCATTTTTTGCGATTTTCTTCAAAACGAAGCAAAAACGAGCAAATCTCTAAAGGACTTTTTGTCTTAGTTTATCGGTCCCCTACACGCTCCTAAAGTTTTGACATTTAAATTGGGGACACCCTGTATATTTATATTTTTCTATATCAATATTATATATCGTTGCGACAGTAGATCAATTTTATTCAATTTTCAGAACGTAACTGTGCCAGGAAGTAATGATACTGTATATATAGAGGATATAAACGCCAATTCTGACTTCTCGTTTTATCGTAATATTTATGGCGCATGCATTGCCAGCATTCTATTGACAAGTTTCATTCGTGGCTTAGCCATTACATTTACCACAATAAAAGCCTCGACTACATTGCACAACAGGTTTCTGCACAAAATTATTGGTTCTCCGTTAATGTTCTTTGAGACCACTCCAAGCGGCAGGATACAAAACATTTTCAGTCGAGATATAGACGAAAGTAAGTGATCAGTGATATCCTAACTGTATCGTGATTTCTCATTTCTGATTTGATTAATTGCGTTCCTACTTTACAGTTGATAATTATTTACCTATATCGATTGAAAACATGGTGCAAAATATTTTTTCCTGTAATTTCGCAATTTTTTTTATTTGCGGCGTATTACCTTGGTTTTCGATAGCGTTATTTCTATTTGGCGCATTATTCTTCTTTGTTAGTAAATTGTTCAGGTAAATATACTACGTTATCGCATAACTTACATACGTATGAAAGATTAATAATGATAATTGGAATTTTATCCTGTATATCTCTGCAGAGTATGCATGAGGGATTTGAAGAGAATGGAGAACATCTCGCGATCTCCCGTTTTAAGTTTTGTTACAACAACGATTCAAGGTTTGAGCACAATTCACGCGTTTCAGAAGGAGAAAAACTTTTTGTACAGGTAATTATTCAGTATAATAATAAAATAATAAAAAGATGATATGGTGAGAATTGTTTTTAATTGACAGATTCGAGGAGTTATTCAACACGAATAATCTGTGCCAGCATCTGTGCCAAGCCGCGATGAGATGGTCCGCAGTAAGACTGGACAGTTTAGTGATTGCCTCATCCTGCATAACTGCGTTACTCGTCATCTCGTTTAAAAATGAGATATCGCCAGCCTTTGCAGGTCTGGCAATGGCATATGCCACACAAATGACCGGTATCTTTCAATATACGGTCAGACTGATGTCCGAGACCGAAGTGCGTTTTATAAGTGTAGAAAGGATCAGTTATTATCTCAAAGTACGTATAAATAATTTATTTCTATTCACTTAATAATTGTGTCTGCAAATATGTAATTATTTTTCTTTCTCAGTAATATGTTGATAACTTTTTATCTTAATTTTATTATTTTATTTAGACTTTGCAGAAGGAAGGTGCAAGTAAGACGGTCGCTCTTAAACCAGCCGACGATTGGCCCTCTCGTGGCAAAATAGAATTTAAAGCTGTCCAGTTGAGATACAGAGAGGAGCTACCGCTCGTGCTAATCGACTTGTCTTTTACCATAAAGGCTGGAGAGAAAATAGGTAACAGACAAATATATAATATTTCGGCAATGCATATTATATTTTCTCATACAAGAGATTGACCATGAATTATCTCAGGTATCGTGGGTCGCACGGGATCCGGCAAGAGTTCCTTAGTCATAGCTTTATTCCGCTTAGTGGAGATTTGCGAGGGTATCATTAAGATTGATGGTATTGATATCTCGAAATTGGAATTAGATGTGTTACGAAATAAATTATCTATCATCCCTCAGGATCCAATTTTATTCAGTGGAACTATAAGGTAATAATCGCCAATTTTTTTATTGATTATCTGGGATGCTTTTCTTTTTAATCGATCTTGTTTTGAAGATCCAATTTAGATCCTTTCCAACAACATACAGACTGCGACATTTGGAGTGCTCTTGAGAAGACGCAGATGAAAGATCGGGTATCTCTTATGCCGGGAAACCTCGATGCTTCCGTTGGATTTGGCGGAAATAATTTGAGTGTTGGCGAAAGACAGCTTCTTTGTTTATCAAGAGCTTTATTACATAGTGCAAAGGTAAATATTTTTATCGAATATATAATTGTAATATCTGGAACGCTTTGAAATTCATTTCCGGAATCTCTTCAAAGTGCTAAAGTAAAAATAAATAATAAATGAAACTGAAATTGCTTTTTAGGTGCTGATTCTAGACGAGGCAACAGCCGCCGTCGATCCGGAAACCGAAGCGACAGTGCAAAATACTTTGCAGAACGAATTCGCGGATTGCACCGTGCTTACGATCGCACATCGATTGCAAACGGTCATCGCGTGTAATCGCATTCTCATCATGAGCGACGGCAGGGTCGTTGAATTCGATGCACCGGCCACTCTTCTCTCTCGACCGGATTCTGAGTTTTCGAAATTGATGGCTGCCACGGACAAGAATGTGTAAAATAATCTTCGCCAGAGATCTGATTCGTATACTCTGATAAATAATAAAACTAATTACATTAACTGGCAATAAATGGAAGAAAAAAAGAGAAACATAATACCATGTGATATACAAAAGTATAATAATAATGGTACATAAAAAAGCAATATAAATGAATAAGTGATTATATAACTTTTTACTAATAAATTTTTAAGTAAAGATATGAAACCACATTCTTTATTAACTCATATCCTATACGAATAAAAAAAGAAATGCTTTCCCATCTTTATCCTTTCGTATTTATTTAATTTTCTGATTAACGATCAATATATATTTATTATAACAATTCAATTGTCATTGAGCATTACATTAGCTGTATATAACTTTCAGGTATGTTAAAAGTTGATACATCGAATTGTGTGCATCAGAAGATTAACATTTTGCTGTCAAAATATTGATGATACATCCATCAAGTTCCTGACGAAAAAACAATTTAATTACAGAAGAATATTTTTGATAGAACTACTTTAAATACGTACAATTGCTTAGCAATTTTTTGATTTCTGGAAACTCGTTTAGTGAAATATTGATTTTCTCAAGAGGCAGGGAGCGCATACTGCTCATGCTCGTTCGCACAGACTTTCGGCCGTGCTGGACTGCTGATGACGCGGTCGAGGCATGTTCGTCGCGACATCGCGACAGCTTGTTATTACCTCTGAGATGTTTATTATACGTTGAGCTTTACTGTTGCTTTATACCGAAGATGTAGTCTATAGAAATTGCCGTAAAGGCAGCATCCGTCGTTTTCCGCAAACAGTTAAAAAAAAGGTGTGAATCCCTTGATAATATATATATAAATAACACATAGGTCTTCGCGCAGATATAATAAAGGGTTGTTTGTAAAAAGATTGCATTTTTCTTCGATTATTCTTGAATTATTCTTATTTCTTGAATTTTTCTTCGATTAATTCTTTCAAACGTGTAAATTACTATTTTATACTATTTTTTAAAGTTATAGATAATCTAAGAAACCTATAATGTATCCTTTATATGTATAATAACATATATTTTATGCTCTTTTAAACTGTTATTTTTTTATTTCAAGTATGTTAATAAATTATTATATAAATTTTAATTTATGCTCTCTTAATTGAATGTGTATATAATCGAATAATACACATATTTTCTCGAACGATTGGTGTAATGTCGTCGAATAAATGACGAGAACATAGTAGCATGCAATAATTATCCAATTGATAAAATTTAATTTCTAGAAATTCTTTCTGTAATAATGGTGCGTCTCTAAGTTTGGTATAAAAACTTGAATATATTTTTCACAGGCCTCACCATTGCGAACATAATTCCTATTATGATGCTGGGGCGGAAGCAGAGCCTCAAGGGGGAACCCGTCCTGGCTGATTATGGTCCGGAGGAGTCCCTCAATGAGAGCGCTGACATAGAATGGGTCAACAAGGTGAGAACGGAAGTGTGGATCAACGGGAAGAGAGAGAAAATTGCTAAAGAGTTCCCTTTTTCCAAAATTTTTCTGAAAACCACTTTACACAATTTTAGCTATGGGTGAGGAGATTGATGCGATTTTGCGCCCTAGTTTCGTTGGCCTCCGTTTGCTTGAACACGCCGAAAACCTTTGAGAAAGTACCGTCCCTCCAATACGTCACCTTCATTTGCGATCTGATAGTCACGTTTCTATTCACCGCTGAAATGATCGCCAAGATGCACATACGAGGAATACTAAAGGTAAAGTTGTTCTCTTCATCGAGGAAGAATTTAAGTAGTATCTAAGTATATTAATTTTTCAAATTTTTGAAAACTGCAACTACTTTTAAATATAATTAAAACGAAGAGTGAAAAATTTTTCTATGCAATTATATCACTGTATTTTTTACGTGGATAGAATAAAATTGCTAATGGTATTGCACAGAGGGATAAGTCCTATTTGAAAGACCATTGGTGCCAATTCGACGCTAGTATGGTGATCTTTCTCTGGCTATCTGTGATTCTGCAAATGTTTGAAATGCTGGGTTTCCTCGTAAAGTTTAGTTATGCTTCGATTATGCGAGCACCACGGCCGCTGATCATGATACGTTTTCTCCGAGTCTTCCTCAAATTTTCGATGCCCAAAGCCAGAATCAATCAAATTTTCAAGTAAGAGAATTAAACATCTAAACTGATAGCTGAAAAACTCGTGCGGCTTAAAAGCGAGATATTTCGCAAACTTATTTGATTTAATTCAATTTCTTCAATTGTTAATTTTTCAATTTTTATATTTATACAGACGCTCGAGTCAGCAGATCTACAACGTGACACTTTTCTTCCTGTTCTTCATGTCCTTATACGGTCTTCTGGGGGTGCAATTCTTCGGCGAGCTGAAAAACCATTGCGTATTGAACACAACCGAACCGCATTACATCACGATCAATAGTTTAGCTATTCCCGATACATTTTGCTCCACCGACCCGGAGTCTGGATATCAATGCCCCGAAGGAATGATCTGCATGAAGCTGGAATTGTCCAAGTATATCATAGGCTTCAATGGATTTGACGAGTTTGGTAGTAGTTAATGTTAATACTATGCCCTCGTTAAAGTCCATGTGTGAATTGGTTTTCCATGATAATCCATGTTACTTACGTATAATATCCTCGTAAAAATATTGCAAGGGTAACTAATTTCTGGCCTCAAAATATAATTTCACTTTACTATAAATATAATATGATATTATCGAAATATATATCTTTTTATAATGTCGTGTTTGAAATATGAATATTCAATATTCTCAACAAGGAATTGAAAAATTAAAATTTTTACAATTGCGTTGCGAGATATATAAGACTTTGATTTGAAACTTTTAGCCACCAGCATCTTTACCGTATACCAAGCAGCTTCTCAAGAAGGATGGGTCTTTATCATGTATCGTGCAAAAAATTAAATACAATTGCGTTGCGAGATATATAAGACTTTGATTTGAAACTTTTAGCCACCAGCATCTTTACCGTATACCAAGCAGCTTCTCAAGAAGGATGGGTCTTTATCATGTATCGTGCAATCGACAGTTTACCGGCATGGCGTGCGGTTCTTTACTTCAGTACGATGATATTCTTTCTGGCTTGGTTGGTGAAGAATGTTTTCATTGCCGTCATCACCGAGACCTTCAACGAAATCCGAGTGCAATTTCAACAAATGTGGGGCGTCAGAGGCCACATTAGTAATAGTTCAGCATCGCAGGTCACTTGTACTAATTTTTCTCGAGATTTTTGAAAGGAAAAAGAATTATTCTCTTTGTTTTTTAATTTACTTTGGAGTATTAATAAAATATTGTATATAAACATTGTTATTTGAAATTAATTGAAAGCAAATAATGATATGATATTGATTGAAATGTTTTACGTACACCTTTACTTATTATATTATTGCAGATATTGACTGGAGATGACAATGGTTGGAAGTTGGTGACATTAGATGAGAATAAGCACGGAGGTCTGGCGTCTCCTGCCTGTCACGCTATTCTCAGATCGCCGTACTTTCGTATGGTAGTAATGTGCGCAATCCTAGCAAATGGTATCACTACCGCAACGATGAGCTTTAAGCATGACGAAAAACCGAGGAACACGTACTACGATCGTTATTATTGGGCCGAGATCGTCTTCACGATACTCCTGGACTTGGAGACGCTCT